TGCGAGTCTGTGCTGTCCGTTGTGTATCTGCCTGTATGTCTGTTGCGAGTCTGTGCTGTCAGCTGTGTATCTGCCTGTATGTCTGTTGTGTATCTGTCTACACGTCAGCTGTGTATCTGCCTGTATGTCTTTTGCGAGTCTGTGCTGTCAGCTGTGTATCTGCGTGTATGTCTGTTGCGAGTCTGTGCTGTCCGTTGTGTATCTGCCTGTATGTCTGTTGCGAGTCTGTGCTGGCTGTTGCGAGTCTGTGCTGTCAGCTGTGTATCTGCTTGTATGTCTGTTGCGAGTCTGTGCTGTCCGTTGTGTATCTGACTGTATGTCTGTTGCGAGTCTGTGCTGTCCGGTGTGTATCTGCCTGTATGTCTGTTGCGAGTCTGTTCTGTCCGTGACAGCTGTTTATCTGCCTGTATGTCTGTTGCGAGTCTGTGCTGTCCGGTGTGTATCTGCCTGTATGTCTGTTGCGAGTCTATGCTGTCCGTTGTGTATCTGCCTGTATGTCTGTTGCGGGTCTGTGCTGTCCGTTGTGTATCTGCCTGTATGTCTGTTGTGTATCTGTCTTCACGTCAGCTGTGTATCTGCCTGTATGTCTTTTGCGAGTCTGTGCTGTCCGCTGTGTATCTGCCTGTATGTCTGTTGCCAGTCTGTTCTGTCCGTGACAGCTGTGTATCTGCCTGTATGTCTGTTGCGAGTCTGTGTTGTCAGCTGTGTATCTGCCTGTATGTCTGTGGCGAGTCTGTGCTGTCTGTTGCGAGTCTGTGCTGTCAGCTGTGTATCTGCCTGTATGTCTGTTGCGAGTCTGTGCTGTCCGTTGTGTATCTGCCTGTATGTCTGTTGCGGGTCTGTGCTGTCCGCTGTGTATCTGCCTATATGTCTGTTGCGAGTCTGTGCTGTCAGCTGTGTATCTGCTTGTATGTCTGTTGCGAGTCTGTGCTGTCAGCTGCGAGTCTGTGCTGTCAGCTGTGTATCTGCCTGTATGTCTGTTTTCTGTCTGTGCTGTCCGTGACAGCCGCAAGTCAGTTGTGATGTATATTTGTTGTGACAGACAGATAGACAGACATACTCTTTTTACACTTTCACTTTATCCTGACATACTCTCAGGATCATTTGAGTTTTTATTAGCGTTCTTAATACGTCACCATTGAGCTTTTAACACCCATTTACCATCAGCCTTAACCTTCTATTCGTTTACCTAGCCTCCATTACCATCCCCACCATTATTCTAAAACCTCCTATACACTCACTTCACATTGGCCTCCACTGCTACACGATGCTGTTACGTTGACTGTATACACATTGACAAACCAAATAAAAAGTATTTTCCATGGAGAACTGTGAGGTTGCTGATATTTTCTGGGTCATTATGGAGGTAATTACCAAATTATCAATGGTAATTTGATGCTATGTTACTGATGTGTCATGTACAGCCGTTGCTATGGTAATTGGCCGATGGGTCCCCTTTGTCACTCTACTAAACCCTATTGTGAGGAAACGTGAAATTGATGACACATATGTAAATTTCAACAAAGATGAGGGATCGGTATTTCTAATGTATTTTCATTTTGTTTCATCAATGTTTTGGTTAGAAACAGACAATTCAAAATTTGTGAAGTCTTGAAAATTTGAAACAGTCTGAAATCAAACTAAAAACGCATACATTTATGAAATTAATGTCGAAATAAACTTACATTTTGTGACCGCGGTCGGATTAAACTTTTTTTTTTTTTTTTTTTTTTTTAATCTCATATTTCAACCAAACCTAACGTTCGTATGCCTGATGTAGGACTTCATGTAAAAGTGTGTTGAAGCATTTTACATGATCAAATCTCCAGAATAACCGTTCCATCCAATCGAAATTCAGTTGAGGGCCAGAATGTATATCTATATATATATTAATATAAGTCCATGTGGTGGTTAAATATAGAAGAAATGACAAGAGCGTTTCTTAGTACTTCCCCACTACTTTCACCTCTTTAGAGGTTCATCAGGGGCAATGTTCATACATAGGTGAACGTACTACTTGCGAAACTGCACATGAACATAACGTGTTTCATTTTCCAATAGGTCAAAATCAAACATGGCAGGTGTGACCTATACTTGATTCAAATGATTTACAAAATTAAAGCATCATTTACTCGGGGGTCACCGTTATAATCAATACGTGTTCCAGAATGCTAAGAAAATGGTTCATCTAGTATTGTTAAGATTTATACAGTAGTGGTAATTTGAAGACATGCGCATAAAACACATTGCTGACTAATTGATGTAGTTAAACCTGTCTTATCGGAAACCCTGTTTGACTCAACACAATTGGTCAGATTAGACAAGTTGTCAGAACATACAGGTCCTATTTGATAATTTGCATTAAAAGTAGGGTTCCTTCCCTTTGAGGAGCCCCATGTTTATCTGACTTAGACCTACTGTAGATCTGTAGATTCGACCAAAATCGGAAAGTTTTGTAATAAAAACAGTGTTCAGGGTGACATGTTTGTGTTGTTTTTGTACTCTTTTGTTACTATTGACAAAGAGATGAACACATTTTAAAAGAAAGCCAGAATATAAATTTGTGAAATGTCAACTTTTAGAGGTAGAACGCGCTTTTACAGGCGAGATGTAAATATAATATGAAGTGTACACACTTGATTAAGCAAGCATGTCTATAAACGTTTGTCGATCCATTTTTGTTCTAAAGAACAATCGATGTTACATGATTTGAGTACAGATAATTGTAATTGAATACCGTCTTACTGCATTCCGACATATATTGTCTATGAAATATACTTACTGAGGATAAATGAAACTACTTCCTGCGTTTAGTTTGGAATACGCCAAGATATACATGTATGTTTGTGGTATAAATACGTTTAAGATAGATTGTTTGCTAAACATGTATGTATACCGTGTTTGTTGTTGTTCATTGTTTGCTAAACATACATGTATACAGTGTTTGTTGTTGTTCATTGTTTGCTAAACATACATGTATGCAGTGTTTGTTGTTGTTCATTGTTTGCTAAACATATATGTATACCGTGTTTGTTGTTGTTCATTGTTTGCTAAACATACATATATGCAGTGTTTGTTGTTGTTCATTGTTTGATAAACATACATGTATGTAGTGTTTGTTGTTGTTCATTGTTTGATAAACATACATGTATACAGTGTTTGTTGTTGTTCATTGTTTGATTACCAAATTGACCGATTAAGCGGTTACTAGATCGGAGGATTGTTCGAGTAATCGGTTACCAAAATTTGACCGGTTTCACAACCCTAATGCAAAGTGGAACTGTCTTATTGTTTTCTAATAGGAAGGATGTTTAAATAAATATTCAGAGGTCGGATTAGACAGGATTTTTGAAACTCAGGGTCGGAGTAGACATATTTCACTATGCATACATTTAAAACAGCAACGAATAGTACACTCGCATCAAACCTTTTCGGCGTCACATCTCCCACCATGTGGTCTTTAATTGAGGTATCCCTCCATCATCACTTGCTGGTCAAATGATGTGATTCGTGTTTTGTCCCAGCAGTGTGTCTGGTTGTGAAACAAGGGTCGGACCGAATGTCCAGTTATTGTTGAGATTTTACACACATGCAGGTGAGTATAAATATTACTTCTATCCGTATTGTTTAATGGCGCCGTTTATATGTGCCTGGAATGTGTATGTATGGAATTTCCTGTGAAGGCTGTCCCCAACAAAAGGTCGGATGAGGCTCCTTGTATTTCAGTGTGTATAAATATTTCAATTGTATAAAATCCAGAAATCTTTTCCTAAACTCAGGAGTAAATAACTGATTCAAGAATTGCTGATGTTGGAAACCCAATCGTGCTAAGGGTGTTATGTAAGTTAAAAATGTATAGTGATACTCCTACATAGGAACTACCTGTACATAGTATCAACCTGAACATAGTAACAACCTCTACATAGTAACAACCTCTACATAGTAACAACTCTACATAGTAACAAATTATACATAGTAACAACTTATACATAGTTACAACTTATACATAGTAACAACGTATACATAGTCACACCATCTACATAGTAACAACTTATACATAGTAACAACTTATACATTATAACAACTTATACATAGTAACAACGTATACATAGTTACACCATCTACATAGTAACACATTATACATAGTAACAACTTATACATAGTAACAACTTATACATACAATGTAGTAACAATTTATACATAATATCAACCTGAACATAATAACAACGTCTACATAGTAACAACCTCTACATAATAACAACTTATACATAATAACAACTTATACATGATAACAACGTATACATAGTAACAACGTATACATAATAACAACCTATACATAGTAACAACGTATACATAGTAAAGCGTATACATAGTAATTATATCAAAATAGTAACAACCTCTACATAGTAACAACTTATACATAGTAACACCATCTACATAGTACAATTTATACATAGTAACAACGTATACATAGTATCAACGTATACATAGTAACTAGCTCTTACTAGTAACAACCTCTACATAGTAACAACCTTTACATAGTAACAACCTCTACATTGTCACTACATATATTTAGTAACAACCTGTACATAGTGACTACGTCCACATAGAAATTACCTGTACATAGTGACTACGTCTACAAGTAACAACTTATACATAGTAACAACTTATAAATAGTAACAACATGTACATAGTGACTACGTCTACAAGTAACAACTTATACATAGTAACAACTTATAAATAGTAACAACCTGTACATAGTGACTACGTCTACAAGTAACAACTTATACATAGTAACAACTTATAAATAGTAACAACCTGTACATAGTGACTACGTCTACAAGTAACAACTTATACATAGTAACAACTTATAAATAGTAACAACCTGTACATAGTGACTACGTCTACAAGTAACAACTTATACATAGTAACAACTTATACATAGTAACAACCTGTACATAGTGACTACGTCTACATAGAAACTACCTGTACATAATAACAACTTATACATACAATGTAGTAACAATTTATACATAGTAACAACCTGTACATAGTATCAACCTGAACATAATAACAACGTCTACATAGTAACAACCTCTACATAGTAACAACCTATACATAGTAACAACCTGTACATAGTATCAACCTGAACATAATAACAACGTCTACATAGTAACAACCTCTACATAGTAACAACCTCTACATAGTAACAACCTCTACATAGTATCAACCTGAACATAATAACAACGTCTACATAGTAACAACCTCTACATAGTAACAACCTCTACATAGTAACAACCTCTACATTGTAACTACATCTATTTAGTAACAACCTGTACATAGTGACTACGTGTACATAGAAACTACCTGTACATAGTGACTACGTCTACAAGTAACAACTTATACATAGTAACAACTTATACATAGTAACAACCTGTACATAGTGACTACGTCCACATAGTAACCATACCTTTATATAGACGCATTATACAGAAACGTAATTTGCGAGTCGTCTTGTTTTTTTCTTCAAAAAATAAGCATTTCAATTTATTTTAATATTTTGGGGAAAGAAAAACCTGCAATGCATTATATTGTTAAGAAGAGTTCTGCACATATCTACCATTTCACATTATTTTAATGACTTTTTGATTTTCTGTTTGATGAAAGATAAGAAAGCAACGACTTTCTTTCAGGAGACATGGCGTTAAATTTAACTTTCTGTAGTCTACGAGTTACACATACGATTGCACAACATAATCTAGATAGTACCGGAAAACGAGTTTTTAATTGCTTACGCTTAAATTTAATATTTTTATTTGTTGAAGTCAAAAATACAGTCATGACGTATTCTCTCCAGAAGGGATTTTTACAATGGTTTAAAACAAACTGTACAGATTTAGACATCTTCTTAATGAAAATATCACAATAGATTTTTAAATTGGAGCTGGGCTCTGACAACTTTCCAAAGAATACACACTGCTTCTCGTATGATCACAATTTAACAATTATTTTCAATCTATTTTTTTTTCCAAATCAAGGGTCAATAAGGGTTCAACATGTGAGCGAATCTCGCAGGATGAGCCAAGACTCAAATGTCTGTGTTCATAAAATGTACTGAAGCTCCGACCGTACTTCAATGATATCAAGTGAAATTCAGGCTGCACATTTGTTTATTTTTCTGCTATAAATTTTCCATGACAACTTGTTTGTTTGAATATTTCAAAATGTGAGTCTATTTAAGTGAACGGAATTAAACTTGCACCGAGTGAAGCTCTATATCATCCGTCTGTAATCTGTTCCAGTCAAGCGTTCAGGCGAATCTCTGATAGGATCAGGAAGCTTTCTTCATCTCTGCAATTGCATTAAAATTTCAGCTGCTGATGTAATGATGTTCTCTGGAGTGAAGGGGTCAAACATTTACCAAATACAGCAGAGCTAGGGGATGAGATCACAAAACTGTACTGTGATATAAAACTTGTATATATTTCCGTTATATTTAAACACTCTAACAGTGTTAAACATTAAGAATGTTTACACCTTTTAGGTCAAAATATTTATGCACATGTAACCTTTATACTCAGATGATCATTATAGACTGACAGTGAATTTTAATAATTTTCGTTTAATAAACAGAGATTGGTAATTTAATTTACTATAGTTCAAATAACAAAGATGTCATATTTGTATTAATATGTTATAATCGCACTGATGATCAGACTATTCAATTATATGAAATTTGAATGTGACTTTGTTATCAGAATATAGCTCTATTCAAGCTTATGGAAAACTGTTAGTTGAAGTTAATCTTCTCCGAATATTTTTGTCTAGTGAAACAGACGTGCCATATATATAACAGGAAGTGACTAAACTCGACAAATACGCTAAACGCTAAATCGTGTAATCCCCTCAAGTAGACTGGGATCGTTTTATAGGACTGTACACAGAGGTTTATTTGTGTACACTTCAAGTTCCATTCATGAGAGAGACGATACAAACGTGTATATCTAGGTAGTTTACAGCAGTGTACTGGGTTCTGACTCTCATACATAGTTAAACTGGTCAGTGTTGAGTCACTGTTGAGTCACTGAATCCTACATGAGTAAACTGGTCATTGTTGAGTCACTGTTGAGTCACTAACTCCTACAGGAGTATACTGGTCAGTGTTGAGTCACTGGCTCCTACAGGAATTTACTGGTCAGTGTTGAGTCACTGTTGAGTCACTAACTACTACAGGAGTATACTGGTCAGTGTTGAGTCACTGACTCCTACAGGAGAACACTTGTCAGTGTTGAGTCACTAACTCCTACAGGAATATACTGGTCAGTGTTGAGTCACTGACTCCTACAGGAGTATACTGGTCAGTGTTGACTTAATGACCCCTACAGGAGTATACTGGTCAGTGTTGAGTCACTGACTCGTACATGAGTATACTGGTCAGTGTTGAGTCACTGACTCCTACAGGAGTATACTGGTCAGTGTTGAGTCACTGACTCCTTCATGAGTTGACTGGTCAATTTTGAGTCACTGACTCGTACAGGAATATACTCGTCAATAATGAGTCACCGTCTCCTACATGAATATACTGATCAGTGGTGAGTCACTGACTTCTACATGAATATACTGGTCAGTGCTTAGTCACTGACTCCTACAGAAGAAGACTGGTCAGTGTTGAGTCGCTAACTCCTACAGGAGAAGACTTGTCAGTGTTGAGTCACTAACTCCTACAGGAGTATACTGGTCAGTGTTGAGTCCCTGACTCGTACATGAGTATACTGGTGAGTGTTGAGTCACTGACTCCCATAGGATTATACTGGTCAGTGTTGAATCACTGACTTCTACATGAGTATACTGGTCAGTGTTGAGTCGCTAACTCCTACAGGAATATACTGGTCAGTGTTGAGTCACTAACTCCTACAGGAGTATACTGGTCAGTCCTTAGTCAGTGACTAAGGACTGACCAGTATTCTCCTGTAGGAGTTAGTGACTCAACGCTGACAAGTCTGCTCCTGTAGGAGTTAGCGACTCAACCCTGACCAGTATATTCCTGTAGGAGTTAGCGACTCAACGCTGACCAGTATACTCATGTAGAAGTCAGTGATTCAACACTGACAAGTATAATCCTATGGGAGTCAGTGACTCAACACTGACAAGTATACTCCTGTAGGAGTTAGTGACTCAACACTTACAAGTCTTCTCCTGTAGGAGTTAGCGACTCAACCCTGACCAGTATATTCCTGTTGGAGTTAGCGACTCAACACTGACCAGTCTTCTTCTGTAGGAGGCAGTGACTAAGGACTGACCAGTATACTCCTACAGGAGTATACTGGTCAGTGTTGAATCACTGACTTCCACATGAGTATACTGGTCAGTGTTGAGTGGCTAACTCCTACAGGAATATACTGGTCAGTGTTGAGTCCCTAACTCCTACAGGAGTATACTGGTCGTGTTGAGTCACTGACTCCTACAGGAGTATACTGGTCAGTGTTGAATCACTGACACCAACAGGAGTATACTGGTCAGTGTTGACTTAATGACCCCTACAGGAGTATACTGGTCAGTGTTGAGTCCCTGACTCGTACATGAGTATACTGGTAAGTGTTGAGTCACTGACTCGTACAGGAGGATACTGGTCAGTGTTGAATCACTGACTTCCACATGAGTATACTGGTCAGTGTTGAGTCCCTGACTCGTACATGAGTATACTGGTAAGTGTTGAGTCACTGACTCCTACAGGAGGATACTGGTCAGTCCTTAGTCACTGACTCCTTCAGAAGAAGACTGGTCAGTGTTGAGTCGCTAACTCCTACAGGAGCAGACTTGTCAGCGTTGAGTCACTAACTCCTACAGGAGTATACTGGTCGTGTTGAGTCACTGACTCCTACAGGCATATACTGGTCAGTGTTGAGTCACTGTCTCCTACAGGAGTATACTGGTCAGTGTTGAGTCACTGCCTCCTACAGGAATATACTGGTCAGTGTTGAGACACTGACTCCCATAGGATTATACTGGTCAGTGTTGAATCACTGACTCCAACAGGAGTATACTGGTCAGTGTTGACTTAATGACCCCTACAGGAGTATACTGGTCAGTGTTGAGTCACTGCCTCCTACAGGAATATACTGGTCAGTGCTGAGTCACTAACTCCTACAGGAGTATACTGGTCGTGTTGAGTCACTGACTCCTACAGGAGTATACTGGTCAGTCCTTAGTCACTGACTCCTACAGAAGAAGACTGGTCAGTGTTGAGTCGCTAACTCCTACAGCGTAAAACTGACCGTTGGTGTGTTACTGACTCCTTTAAGGAGTTTGATTTGCTCAGTTAAGAGTCGCTGAATCCTGCAGTGATCTTTACGTTAATGTTTGTGAATTTTGAATTTTAAAGTGTAGGATCCTGTGCTGTGATTTACTAGGCGTGATTGACTTATAGTCTGAGAAAGATCAATTTTTATCAATTTGAAGAGATCAATTTTGCTTGAACTTTCTACTTTGTTTTGTTTATACTGGGAAACGGGTATTATTTAAAAACAACTCTTCATGGTTTGATATCTGCTGTATGAAGGTGTAAATTTGTTAAAAACTGGTAGATCATTGACAAAGACAGTTGATTTGTTCATGTCTATCAAACCTAGCGCTTGTTTAAAGTATGTGTGACATAGAATCCCACACCCTCACACACGGCACACACCAGGTATACGTGTGACGAGTAACGCTGGTCTGTGTGCTATACCGAATCTTAATGTACATAAGGACACTTGACATAAGTACTAGGTCTTCAATGTAAGTATTATATTTTAATCTGACACTTTCTTAGATATATATTTATTTATATATGTACGACTTTTAAAGCATTACCGAAATATTTAGGTCTCAAGCAAAAACAATTTAAAATTGCCATTACACTTAAACTCCACAGCCATTGTTATGAATACTAGTGTCAACGAACACAGGGACATGGCAGATTATGATCGGTACTATATTATAACGCCCGTTTTTATACGTGACATGTCTCTGCGTATACAACACTGAGTTATGATACAATTTGTAATAGAATAGTCTCGATATTAATTTACATATTTTGTCAGGATAACCAAATGTAATCTGAGGAAAGTTGTACGGTGTAAACTTCTCTAAACTGACACACTTAAGGAGTGAAACTTACATGTATCTTCACAATAAACAGGTTGTCGGATTACACACGTTTGGTTTTCATCAACATACTTCAGATTCCTTCATTTCGCGCGCATTCATTTCATGGCTTGACCTTTTTCTGTACTTAATTTGTGAGGACTACCAATGACTTAATGTAAGTGCTAGTTATTGTGCATGTGTTATTTGAATTCGTAAATCAATGCTTACAAATGTAACATGATTAAATGCACAAATATAAATTAAATGTAATTCAAATTATCTATAAAACTTCTGATTGGGTAGAGTAAGACATATTTTGTTACAGTCGTGTGTATTGATCAAAACGGTTGAACCGGTTGGACCAGAGTTGTTCGTTTATGAAATAAGGTTGGACCAGAGTTGTTCGTTTATGAAATAAGGTTGGACCTAGTTATCTGATGCTGTTTTCAGGCGAGCCTTGACCAAGCCTAACAGGTCGGCTAGTATAAATATGAAGAAACACTCTGTTATACGCCCGAAATTTAAATCTCTTTTAATTTAGAATACTTAAAAATGGTAGAAAATATTACAAATGGGATGTTCTCCTCAGTGAACAATACACAGCTGTATAGATATAAAGCTGTATGTGGTAAGTACAGAAGTGTCAGTAGCCATGTCTATTGTGGTGTTATTGTGTTATCAACTGGGTGTTGACCTGTCTCATTACATCGCCCTTCATTATAATTTTCCAACCTGTGTACGCTTCATTATCCACTTGTGGTCATTGCCCTTGAACTGACCATCAATCGGTCAGACAAACTTGAAAATGGAAGATAAAAACGTTGTCTGTTGACCTGTTTTGAACTCTTATCAATTTCTTTCTGAAGGCTCGATTTCTTTTCGGAATCTTGTACATTTATTTTCATTTTGGATGCTTGAACCCATTGCTGAGACAGTCGTTTAATTTTGCACGACACACAAGTTTATTATTTACAATGAGTATTGATGTCGACAACATTACATGTGTCACCGTCCGCCGTGAAGCATGTATTAGTGGTATACTGTGTAGTTGTTGAATTTCGTGGGGCTAATATTTCGCAGTTGTACTGACCAGAGCTGTTTCGCGGGGATTCAATTTCACATTGTCAGGTAAAAATATCGCGCTCTCAAGAGTACTTTTGTATTAGGGTGATGGGATTTATTTTACAAGTGTTTTATCAAAATAACGTAAAATACAACATTGAATTGTCTCAATTACTAAGTATACGGCAGTTAAAAGGAAACACGTTTTTATTTCTTATTTCTGTATATTCTTCGTGTTGGTCTCGTTGGCATTTAATTTCGCGCTCGCTTTGGTGACCGCGAATAAAGCTAAATTAAATCCCACGCGAAATTAACAAGTATACGGTAGGTACAATAAATAATTAAAACAAATGATAACATATTACATGTATAATACACTTTATTTCTTATTTGACGCGCTTCCAACTGTTGTACTGTACCGTATGGAGGCACGTGCACGGTAGTCTAGTAGTAGGACGCAGGGCTCGTGACCGAAGGGTTGCCTGTTCGAGTTACGGCACGGCACTGTGCTGTATCTTTGAGCAAGCTTCTTTACTTCGCTTGTTCCAGTCTACTCAGCTGTAAATGAGTACGCGGTTGGGCAGTGCTAGAATTGTAGAATGCTAGCTGTTAGCGCCGAAATGTCAGCTCCGGCTTTATGCTCCCCAGGGAGTTAAGAAAGATACTGACTGGTTGCAAAGGCCCTATAACCACGGATAATAATTTGTGAACCGCTTTGAGACGAACTACGAACTAGGTTGTGATAAAGCGGTATATAAGAACCTCGAATTATTATTATTATTACTGTTGCCTTGAATGACAACGGTTAATGACATTCTTATTTACACCAAGGACTACAAAAGTGTACTGGAATTTTGAGGTTTTGGTGAATGTCAAATTCATGGCGTTTTGGTAAATAATGGCGACATAAATACTACATAATTTACACAATTCAGTAGCTCGACTTGGCCTTTATGAATCATACATTGTATAATCCATGGAATAAATATGTCCTTACGATCAGGCTGCTGAAACTGAATTCACAACGGTATCTTTATCACTGGTAATGCACATATAATTTGTACGGTAAGTTGAACAATGTCATCAGTTGTTGCCAATCTTCATACGTATTGGAAACTGTTACCATTTGAGAGAACACTCAATCATTCACGCCAGAAATTATTATCTGTTTTGTACTCGAATGTCTTATTACAGTAAAATCTCGATTGCCGCCCCTCGTTTCATTTGCCACCTCATTTACCGCCGACATATTTCAAGGTATTTGTTTTCTTTTTTTCTTAAGAATTCCTTCATTCATTTCCCTCAATTTATCGTCACACCCCTTTATAACGCCACAATTTCTCTAAATGTTGGCAGTCTATCGAGGTTTGGCTGTGTATATATATAGATACGACCTAGGTATTCACACGCCAGGTCTGTTTGTTTTAATGGCTAATTCAATGATTTACATGATTTATTTTATTTTTATTTTCAGATCTAAAATGAAGTCGATAAATAGTCTACATGAACCGAAAGGCAGAAGATGACGTCATCTTTGGTATTAAGGAGTATAATGTGTCACCGTAATTCGATAGGTAAATTATCAAATGGAGAAATAAAGACATGAGAAACAGTTACAAATGGTGATCTAAAATCTCATTGCGCCATGAAGGAAATACTTATTGTTAATATTTGTTTGGCTGTGTTGTGGTCCGCACCCATCAATACAGAGGCATTTTATACCGTGTACAATGTAAGCAGTGAGAATCAACCTCTAACTCAAATCACCATGGATACACAAAATGGAGATTTGTATGTCGGAGGCAAAAACTTGGTCCTACATTTTGATGAAGACTTAGATGTTGTGCAGGAACATATTCTTGGACCAGTGCTGGACAACAGTGACTGTCCTCCGTCACCTTTGACCTGCAGTAAAGTTCGAACTATGACACCAAATCATGTCCGTGTCTTGGAAATTAATGACCAAAAAGATTTTATACTCATGTGCGGTTCAGCCAATCAGGGACTGTGTTCCTGTCTCTTCCTCAACGATATTTCATCCAATCATACTCTGGTTGCAACGGCCAATGTGAATTATATCGGAACTACATCTCGTTCCACAGTTTCCGTGGTATTTGGATCTCCTAATCAGCACTCTGGTAGTACAGAAAAAGTCCTTTATGTCGCCATGGGAATGGACAAAAGAGATTTTAAGTTTCGCCCGAAAATTATGTCAACACGAGAGTTTAACTATGTTGATTCATCCTGGAGTCTGCTGTATTACGTACATGATAAAACATACGGGACATACTTAACAGCAGACGACTCTGTCCAAGATTTATTCCAGTCGTTCTACATCTATTCATTTGAGTATGGAGACTACGTATACCACATCTCTGTACAAATGAGGGACCCATTCGGTAATCAGACAGAAAACAACGTTTTTGTAACCAAAATAATACAAATATGTAAAAACGATGTAGCGTACGCTTCCTACACGGAACTCCCTTTACAGTGCGAACATGATGGTAAAATATATGAGATTGCAACTGATGCATTTCTTGCAGAAGCACCGAAGCTACTCTCAATATGGGACAAAAAGTTGTTCGTTACATTTGGTGTTAACAGACAACTTAATCCTAATCCAGACGAAAAAGAGGGATCCGTCATGTGCTTTTTTGATTTTACTGAAATAATTGGGAACCTTTCAGTTCTTCAAAAAGACTGCTTTTTGGGAAATGCCATACAGCCAGCCTGGGTGTACGGTAGAAGACTGGCCGCCCCAAATATGTGTGCGGTAGGTATGAATTCTGGAAGAAAAAATAAATGTGGTACATACAAATTAATTTGCAGTTATATCACATCCTGATTAGATATTAGATCAAATCGTATCATAAAGTAAGATTCTCTGTGGGATCAGGATGGTTTTTAGTTAACATGGGATAAAGTGGCAATGCAGGTCATGTCATATCGCGATATCTGGCGTCACCATTTTCTATACTTTAAATGGATACTAGTTTGGAACATCTAAATGGATTTAGATAGATTTTAGGAGTTTTAAGATTTTGAATTAAGAGTGTTTATAAATAAAGAGAACAATCAGTATATTAAATATAGTTAGAGGTAGGGAGCGTGCTATGGAATGTCTTTGAAGAAGAAATACACTATCTATTTAACAACAAGTATGAAACAAGTTATTACAACTCATTCTTGTTGACCGGGATATTAGTGCGTGGGGGGTCTTAATGTGGGAGGAAACCTGAGTAGCGGGATAAAACCCATGTTGTCGGGCAGGTGACCTCATATCTTTTAACGTCAGACCGGGGAATCGAACTCCGGCCGCCTTGGTGGAAGGCGAGTGCGTTATCCACTCTGCTACTCGACCATATCTTCAATAAGATTCATCAGTTTGGAAATATGTTACATCAAAGTCATACTTAATACACAAACAATGTACGTTTTAAACGTGTCGCAACGTTTCAAAACCGACTGGTCCCTTCCGAAGTAAGTACATTGTTTGTGTAAAAAATAAAACTTTGATATAACATGCTATACAGTACCAACTCAAGGAAACCATAGGTAGAAGATATGATAAACGGTTAACAGCCAAGTAGTGTACTTATAGTCATAATAAAAAAATACAGGTTGTTATAAGATATACTATAAAGAATAGGTAGTTATAAAGTTATACTAAAAATAATAGGTAGTTATAAAGTTATACTAAAAAGTAGAGGTAGCTACAAAGTTATACTAAAAAGAAGAGGTAGTTATAAAGTTATACTAAAAAGTAGAGGTAATTATAAAGTTATACTAAGCAAAAGTAGAGGTAGTTATAAATTTATACTAAAAGGTAGAAGTGGTTACAAAGTTATACTAAAAAGTAGAGGAAGTTATAAAGTTATACTAAAAGGTAGAAGTGGTTACAAAGTTTTACTAAAAGTAGAGGTAGTTATAAAGTTATACTAAAAAGTAGAGGTACCTATAAAGTTATACTAAACAGTAGAGGTAGTTACAAAGTTATACTAAAAAGTAGAGGTAGTTAAAAAATTATACTAAACAAAATTAGGGTTAGTTATGAAGTTATACTCAAAAGAAGAGGTAGTTATAAAGTTATACTAAACAAAACTAGAGGTAGTTATGAAGTTATACTAAAAAGTAGAGGTAGTTACAAAGTTATACTAAAAAGTAGAGGTAGTTATAAAGTTAAACTAAAAGGTAGAAGTGGTTACAAAGTTATACTAAAAAGTAGAGTTAGTTATAAAGTTATACTAAAAAGTAGAGGTAGTTATCAAGGTATACTAAAAAGGAGAGGTAGTTACAAAGTTATGCTAAAAAGTATTGGTAGTTATCAAGTTATCCTAAAAAGGAGAGGTAGTTATAAAGTTATACTAAACAAAAGTAGAGGTAGTTATAAAGTAATATTAAAAAAAAAGCAAAGATTGCAATAAAGTTATACTTAACAAAAGTAGAGGTAGTTATAAAGTTATATTAAACAAAAGAAGTAGTTTTAAAGTTATACTAAACAAAAGGAGAGTTAATTATAAAATTATATTTAACAAAAGTAGAGGTAGTTATGAAAGTTATATAAAAAAAAGTAGAGGTAGTTATAAAGTTATACTTAACGATAGGAGAGGTAGTAATAAAGTTATACTAAACAAAAGTAGAGGTAGTTATAAAGTTATACTAAGTAAGAGTAAAGGTAGTTACAAAGTTATACTAAACAAAAGAAGAGGTAGTTATAAAGTTATACTAAACAAAAGGAGAGGTAGTTATAAAATTATACTAAACAAAAGTAAAAGCAGTTATAAAAGTTATATTAAGCAAAAAGTAGAGGTAGTTAAAAATTCATACATAACGAAAGGAGAGGTAGTTATAAAGTTATTCTAAACAAAAGTAGAGGTAGTTATAAAGTTATACTAAACAAAAAAAGAGGTAGTTATAAAGTTATGCTAAAAATTAAAAGTAGTTATAAAGTTACACTAAAAAGTAGAGTTAGTTATAAAGTTATACCAAAAAGTAGAGGTAGTTACAAAGTTATGCTAAAAAGTAGAGGTAGTTATATAAAATTATGCTAAAAGTAGAGGTATTTATAAAGTTATACTCAAAAGTAGAGGTACAGTGTAGTTATAAAGTTATACTAAATAAATATAAAGGTAGTTATAAAGTTATACTAAACAAAAGTAGAGGTTGTTATAAAGTTATATTAAAAATCAGAAGTAGTTTTAAAGTTACACTAAAAAGTAAAAGTAGTTACAAAATTATACTAAAATGTAGAAGTAGTTTTAAAGTTATACTAAAAAGAAGAGATAATTATAAAGTTATACTAAAAAGGAGAGGTTGTTACAAAGTTATGCTAAAAAGTAGAGGTAGTTATAAAGTTATACTCAAAAGTAGAGGTAGTTATAAAAGTATACTAAACAAAAGTAGAGGTAGTTACAGTTATACTAAACAAAAGTAGAGGTAGTTATAAAGTTATATTAAACAAAAGTAGAGGTAGTTATTAAGTTATGCTTAGCAAAAGTAGTAGAGGTAGTTATAAAGTTATGCTAAACAAAAGTAGAGGTTGCGCATATGTGATTGTTCTTTGAAGAAAAACTGTATAACAATTTATATTCTTTGTCTTCAGGCCAGTAATTTAGGCAGAAACAAAGAGTTCTGTGGAAGTTCGAGTAACATCGGTATTCAAAACTATCGACAAGAACATCGTGTACGGAGTATGGCTACCGCATACATACCCAACAATGTGTTGACATCTGTTGCCGTGGTTACCCAGGGCGAGGCTACAGTGGCTGTACTGGGAACGCATACTGGCCATTTGCTTAAAACTAAGGTAAGTAGTTGTTTTGTGACGCGGAACTGCAATCACGCTCTGATGAATGCTGCTTCCGCTTACATACAAAAGAAGATTAGCCACACAACGAGTGAATGAGGTGTTGTATAAGAGTACAGATGTGTTGTACCAGAGATAAGCCTATCGGGATATATTATTAATAAAACTTAACATATCGTGTGATATGTTATCGTGTTATAAGCCTATATATGGTATAACATAGATAATTTGTTTTAATGATATATACGTTGAAAGTTGAAATAATATTATGTGGTAATGATACAATCTAGGTTGATGTAATACTATATGGTAATGATACATTGTAGGTTGTTGTAATATTATATGGTAGTGATACATTGTAGGTTGATGTTATATTATATGGTAGTGATACATTGTAGGTTGTTGTAATACTATACGGTAATGATACATTGTAGGTTGATGTTATACTATATGGTAATGATACATTGTAGGTTGATGTAATACTATATAGTAATGATACATTGTAGTTTGATGTTATACTTTATGGTAATGATACATTGTAGGTTGATGTAATACTGTATGGTAATGATACATTATAGGTTGATGTAATACTATATGGTATTGATACATTGTAGGTTGATGTAATACTATACGCTTATGATACATTGTAGGTTGATGTAATACTATACGGTAATGATACATTGTAGGTTGATGTAATACTAGACGCTTATGATACATTGTAGGTTGATGTAATACTATACGGTTATGATATAGTGTAGGTTGATGTAATGATATATTGTAGTTTGATGTTATACTATATGGTAATGATACATTGTAGGTTGATGTACTACTATACGCTTATGATACATTGTAGGTTGATGTAATACTATACGGTTATGATATAGTGTAGGTTGATGTAATGATATATTGTAGTTTGATGTTATACTATATGGTAATGATACATTGTAGGTTGATGTAATACTAGACGCTTATGATACATTGTAGGTTGATGTAATACTATACGCTTATGATACATTGTAGGTTGATGTAATACTATACGGTAATGATACATTGTAGGTTGATGTAATACTATACGGTAATGATACATTGTAGGTTGATGTAATACTATATAGTAATGATACATTGTAGTTTGATGTTATACTTTATGGTAATGATACATTGTAGGTGGATGTAATACTGTATGGTAATGATACATTATAGGTTGATGTAATACTATATGGTATTGATACATTGTATGTTGATGTAATACTATACGCTTATGATACATTGTAGGTTGATGTAATACTATACGGTTATGATATAGTGTAGGTTGATGTAATGATATATTGTAGTTTGATGTTATACTATATGGTAATGATACATTGTAGGTTGATGTAATACTATATGGTTATGATATAGTGTAGGTTGATGTAATGATATATTGTAGTTTGATGTTATACTATATGGTAATGATACATTGTAGGTTGATGTAATAGTAAATGGTAGTGATACATTGTAGGTTGATGTAATACTATATGGTAGTAATATTTTGTAGGTTGATGTAATACTGTATGGTAATGATACATTGTAGGTTGATGTAATGATACAATCTAAGTTGATGTAATTATACATTGTAAGTTGATGTAATATTATATAGTAGTGATACAATATAGGTTGATGTAATACTATATGGTAATGATACATTGTAGGTTGTTGTAATACTATACGGTAATGATACATTGTAGGTTGTTGTAATACTATAAGGTAATGATACATTGTAGGTTGATGTAATACTATATGGCAATGATACATTGTAGGTTGATGTAATACTATATGGTAATGCTATATTGTAGGTTGATGTTAGATACATTGTATGTTGATGTAATACTATACGGTAATGATACATTATAGGTTAATGTAACACTATATGGTAATGATACATTGTAGGTTGTTGTAATACTATAAGGTAATGATACATTGTAGGTTGATGTAATAGTATATGGTAGTGATACATTGTAGGTTGATGTAATACTATATGGTAGTAATATTTTGTAGGTTGATGTAATACTGTATGGTAATGATACATTGTAAGTTGATGTAATGATACAATCTAAGTTGATGTAATTATACATTGTAGGTTGATGTAATATTATATAGTAGTGATACAATATAGCTTGATGTAATACTATATGGAAATGATACATTGTAGGTTGATGTAATACTATATGGTAATGATACATTGTAGGTTGATGTAATACTATATGGTCATGATATAGTGTAGGTTGATGTAATGATACATTGTAGGTTGATGTAATACTGTATGGTAATGATACATTGTAGGTTGATGTAATATTATATGGTAGTGATACGTTGTGGGTTGATGTAATACTATACGCTTATAATACATTGTAGGTTGATGTAATACTATATGGTAATGATACATTGTAGGTTGATGTAATACTATATGGTAGTTATACATTGTAGGTTGATGTAATACTATATGGTAATGCTATATTGTAGGTTGATGTTAGATACATTGTATGTTGATGTAATACTATATGGGAGTGATATATTGTAAGTTGATGTAATATTATATGGTAGTGATACATTGTAGGTTGATGTAATACAATATGGTAATGATACATTGCAGGTTGATGTAATACTAAACGGTAATGATACATGGGAGGTTGATGTAATACTTTATGGTATTGATATATTGTAGGTTGATGTAATACTGTACGGTAATGATACATTGTAGGTTGAGGTAATGATACAATCTAAGTTGATGTAATGATACATTGCAGGTTGATGTAATACTAAACGGTAATGATACATGGTAGGTTGATGTAATACTTTATGGTATTGATATATTGTAGGTTGATGTAATACTGTATGGTAATGATACATTGTAGGTTGAGGTAATGATACAATCTAAGTTGATGTAGTGATACAATATAGGTTGATGTAATAGTATATGGTAGTGATACATTGTAGGTTGATGTAATATTATATGGTAGTGATACATTTTAGGTTGATGTAATACTATACGGTAATGATACATTGTAGGTTGATGTAATGCTACAATCTAAGTTGATGTAATTATACATTTTAGGTTGATGTAATATTATATAGTAGTGATACAATAGAGGTTGATGTAATACTATATGGTAATGATACATTGTAGGTTAATGTTATACAATATGGTAATGATACATTATAGGTTGATGTTATACTATATGGTAATGATACATTGTAGGTTTATGTAATATTATATGGTAGTGATACATTGTAGGTTGATGTAATACTATATGGTAATGATTCATTGTAGGTTAATGTTATACAATATGGTAATGATACATTATAGGTTGATGTTATACTATATGGTAATGATACATTTTAGGTTTATGTAATATTATATGGTAGTGACCCCTTGTAGGTTGATGTAATACTATACGCTTATGATACATTGTAGGTTGATGTAATATGATATGGTAGTGATACATTGTAGGTTGATGTAATACTATACGATAATGATACATTGTAGGTTGATGTAATACTATATAGTAGTGATACATTGTAGGTTGATGTAATGCTATAGAGTACAGTAGTGATACATTGTAGGTTGATGTAATACTATATAGTTTTGAATTATTTTAGGTTGATGTAATACTATATAGTAGTGAACTATTGTAGGTTGATGTAATACTATATAGTAGTGAATTATTGTAGGTTGATGTAATACTATATAGTAGTGATACATTGAAGGTTGATGTAATACTATATAGTAGTGAATTATTGTAGGTTGATATAATATTGTATGGTAATGGTACATTGTAGGTTGATGTAATGATATATTGTAGGTTGATGTTATACTATATGGTAGTGATACATTGTAGGTTGATGTAATACTATACGCTTATGATACATTGTAGGTTGATGTAATACTATATGGTAATGATACATTGTAGGTTGATGTAATACTGTATGGTAATGATATATTGTATGTTGATGTAATACTATATGGTAATGATACATTGTGGGTTGTTGTAATACTATATGGTAGTGAAACATTGTATGTTGATGCAATGATATATTGTAGTTTGATGTGATGCTATATGATAATGATACATTGTAGGTTGATGTAATATTATATGGTAGCGATACATTGTAGGTTGATGTAATACTATATGGTAGTGATACATTGTAGGTTGATGTAATACAATATGGTAATGATACATTGCAGGTTGATGTAATACTATATGGTAATGATACATTGTAGGTTGATGTAATACTATATGGTAATTATACATTGTAGGTTGATGTAATACTATATAGTAATGATTCATTGTAGGTTGATGTAATTATACATTGTAGGTAGATGTAATGATACATTGTAGGTTGATGTAATACTATATGGTAATTATACATTGTAGGTTGATGTAATGCTATATAGTAATGATTCATTGTAGGTTGATGAGGATCACAGACAAATGGAGCCTTATATGGACTTGGACCTCACAGGAAACACCAACATTCCTGTACAACAGGACATGCAGATCGATTCTAGTGAGGACCATGTGTATGTCCTAGCCAGTAGACAGGTAATATAGAGATTTGTTTTGTTACAGACAGAGGATATACATATATGTTAGATAACAGTCAGGTTATATACAGATATATATGGTAATAGACAGGTAATATATAGATACGTTAGGTAATAGACAGGTACTTAACAGATATGTTAGGTAATAGACAGGTAATATACAGATATGTTAGGTAATAGACAGGTATTCAACAGATATGGAAGGTAATTTACAGGTAATATAAAGATATGTTTGGTAATAGACAGGTAATGTACAGAGCTGTTAGGTAATAGACAGGTTATATACAGATATGTTAGGTAATAGACAGGTACTATATATATATGTTAGGTAATAGACAGGTAATATACAGATATGTTCGATAATAGACAGATAATATACAGATATGTTAGGTAATACACAGGTAATATACAGATATGTTAGGTAATACACAGGTAATATACAGATATATTAGGTAATAGACAGGTAATATGCAGATATGTTAGGTAATAGACAGGTAATATATAGATACGTTAGGTAATAGACAGGTACTTAACAGATATGTTAGGTAATAGACAGGTAATATACAGATATGTTAGGTAATAGACAGGTAATATACAGATATGTTAGGTAATAGACAGGTATTCAACAGATATGGAAGGTAATTTACAGGTAATATAAAGATATGTTTGGTAATAGACAGGTAATGTACAGAGCTGTTAGGTAATAGACAGGTTATATACAGATATGTTAGGTAATAGACAGGTACTATATATATATGTTAGGTAATAGACAGGTAATATACAGATATGTTAGATAATAGACAGATAATATACAGATATGTTAGGTAATACACAGGTAATATACAGATATGTCAGGTAATACACAGGTAATATACAGATATGTTAGGTAATACACAGGTAATATACAGATATATTAGGTAATAGACAGGTAATATGCAGATATGTTAGGTAATAGACAGGTAATATATAGATAAGTTAGGTAATAGACAGGTACTTAACAGATATGTTAGGTAATAGACAGGTAATATACAGATATGTTAGGTAATAAACAGGTAATATACAGATATGTTAGGTAATAGACAGGTATTCAACAGATATGGAAGGTAATTTACAGGTAATATAAAGATATGTTTGGTAATAGACAGGGAATGTACAGAGCTGTTAGGTAATAGACAGGTTATATACAGATATGTTAGGTAATAGACAGGTACTATATATATTTGTTAGGTAATAGACAGGTAATATACAGATATGTTAGATAATAGACAGATAATATACAGATATGTTAGATAATACACAGGTAATATACAGATATGTTAGGTAATAGACAGGTAATATACAGAGATGTTAGGCAATACACAGGTAATATACAGATATATTAGGTAATAGACAGGTAATATACAGAGATGTTAGGCAATAGACAGGTAATATACAGATATGTTAGGTATTAAACAGGTTATATACAGATCTGTTAGGTAATAGACAGGTAATATACAGATCTGTTAGGTAAAAGACAGGTGATATACAAAGCTGTTAGGTAATAGACAGTAAATATACAGATCTGTTATGTTTTAGACAGGTGATATACAGATCTGTTATGTAATACACATGTTATATACAGATCTGTTAGGTAATAGACAGGTAATATACAGATATGTTAGGTATTAAACAGGTTATATACAGATCTGTTAGGTAATAGACAGGTAATATACAGATATGTTAGGTAATAGACAGGTAATATACAGATATGTTAGGTAATAGACAGGTAATATACAGATATGTTAGGTAATAGACAGGTAATATACAGATATGTTAGGTAATAGACAGGTAATATACAGATATGTTAGGTAATAGACAGGTAATATACAGATCTGTTAGGGAAAAGACAGGTGATATACAAAGCTGTTAGGGAATAGACAGTAAATATACAGATCTGTTATGTTTTAGACAGGTGATATCCAGATCTGTTATGTAATACACATGTTATACTCAGATCTGTTATGTAATACACATGTTATATACAGATCTGTTAGGTAATAGACATGTTATATACAGATCAGTTAGGTAACAGACAGGTTATATACAGATCTGTTATGTAATAGACAGGTTATATACAGATCTGTTAGGTAATAAACGGTAAATATACAGATCAGTTAGGTAACAGACAGGTTATATACAAGGCTGTTAGGAAATAGACAGGTTATTTACAGAGCTGTTAGGTAATAGACAGGTTATATACAGATCTGTTATGTTTTAGACAGGTGATATACAGATCTGTTATGTAATACACATGTTAAATACAGATCTGTTAGGTAATAAACGGTAAATATACAGATCAGTTAGGTAACAAACAGGTTATATACAGAGCTGGTAGTTAGTAGACAGGGTATATACAGATCAGTTAAGTAACAGACAGCTTATATACAGATCTGTTAGGTATTAGACAGGTTATATACAAGGCTGTTAGGAAATAGAAAGGTTATTTACAGAGCTGTTAGGTAATAGATAGGTAATATACAGAGATGTTAGGCAATAGTAGACAGGTTATATACAAATCTGTTATGTAATAGATATGTTATATACATGTCTGTAAGGAAATAGACAGGTTATTTACAGAGCTGTTAGGTGATAGACAGGTTATATACGGATCTGTTAGGGAACAGACAGGTTATATACAAATCTGTTATGTAATAGACAGATATTATACATGTCTGTTAGGTAATAGACTTGTTATATACAGATCAGTTAGGTAACAAACAGGTTATATACAGTTCGGTTATGTAATAGACAGATATTATACATGTCTGTAAGGAAATAGACACGCTATATACGGATCTGTTAGGTAACAGACAGGTTATATGCAAGGCTGTTAGGAAATAGAAAGGTTATTTACAGAGCTGTTAGGTGATAGACAGGTTATATACGGATCTGTTAGGGAATAGACATGTTATATACATGTCTGTAAGGTAATAGACAGGTTATATACGGATCTGTTAGGTAATAGACATGTTATATACAGATCAGTTAAGTAACAGACAGGTTATATACAGATCTGTTATGTAACAAACAGGTTATATACAGATCTGTTAGGTAATAGACAGGTTATATACAAGGCTGTTAGGAAATAGACAGGTTATATACACATCTGTTAGGTAATAGACAGGTAATATACAGATCTGTTAGGTAATAAACAGTAAATATACAGATCAGTTAGGTAACAGACAGGTTATATACAAGGCTGTTAGGAAATAGACAGGTTATATACACATCTGTTAGGTAATAGACAGGTAATATACAGATCTGTAAGGTGATAGACAGGTTATGTACAGATCTGTAAGATTAATGATAAATACCTGACAATATGCTCGTCTTTCTGATCAGTCATAAGATCCGTTCAGTACTGCCTCGGAAATACAATATAGTTTCGGTTAATGACAGACAACGGACCATGGACGTCTGATGATGTTGACTTAAAACATAGACAACTAAAAAAACCGAGAGTAATTTCTATAATACTTTGAATCAATATACGTAACCTGATGCTGGTGTTGTTCTCGTGTGGTTTACGTAATATACTAGCCTAAGTATACAGTATCTGTTGTAACAAACCTATTTGTAACGTTATAAGAGTTGTCTAGACATATCTCCCTACCTGTTGTAATACACAGATATTTCGGAACGCTTTTGAGATGGATTTTTCACTGATCAGTCCTAAATGGACGGTATTGCCATATGCTGCAGTGAAATGTTAGTGTTTTGGCTTTCGGCATCGATCTATAATCTAGATTTAGGTGTTTCCTTTCTTCGCGTTTCTAGTGATAAAGTTGTGCAGATGTGTATCTTTTTTTTTTTTTTTATTATTGATATCAATTTTTTTCTTGTGATTTGACATAATTCTGGTTTATTTTACCTGTACAATGAGGGTAGAATATACTAGAACAAGGGTACCTGTCTGACCGTTGTCTGTCCGTAGGCCGTTGGTTAAGACACAAACATGTTAAAACTATATTTCCCGAAAAACTGTTTATTTATCAATGAAACTTTGTACACAATAAAAGTGGTAAGTTACATGTAGCTATGTAATTTAATTATTCATTTTGAGCGAAAATATTACCATATTACTTCTCCTTAAATGCTACATAAGGTTCAACGATTTTTTGTCCACTTTTATCAAAGTTCAAGATAGTTATCGACTGTGCAATTTATTGATCATCTATGTATATAAATGCCATTTGTTTGTCTATAATCCAACCAAAAGATAGCCATAAGGAGGCGCGGGGATTACAAGCTGGCCTGCAACTTACCATTGTATTTTTTATAGGTGGTCAAATTCCCCCTTCGTACATGTGAAGTTTACAGCACGTGTGAGACGTGTGTAACAGCAGACGACCCTCTAGTGTGTGGATGGTGTGTGGACCGTTGTACAAAGAAAACAGAGTGTGTCAAACCGACACGGAACCTGGGCATCCAGACCACATGGAGCCTGGACATCTGTTCTCCTATCATACACTCCGTAAGAGTTCTCCAACTATTAACTGTCTTGTATCAATTTATCTCTTGTAGGTTGTATGTGAATGCAGTGGCAAATAATTCAATAATAACAATAAGATCAATAAGTTTTGGTAAATATGTTTAATGTCAATGACAGTCTTCTCCTTATGCTCATCACACCAGCGAACGGTACAACTCTTGATATTGTCATAGCGTGTAATATGAAAATTAGGAAATAAAATAGAACTGAATTGAAGATTCAGATTCAGTGAAATTTTATGCAGGTGTGTTAAATCCAAGCGAAGGAAACTGCTTTACTGGCAATCTAGCTTTACCAGTGATGAGATAAAGCCCCTAGGACGCGCTAACTAGTTCTTCAGCGTCGAGCGTAGTCACTACGCTGCCACCAAATGTAACTCACCGGCGAGCACCCATCCAGCCACTGACCATACACTCGACGTAACTGCACTATTGAACGCGTCCCAGGGTTATACTGCATCACATGAAACTTCTCCTCATATTCCTTGGCTGATAAACTGTTCCTTGTTCGAGAAGTGTCGTCCCGCGACTTGGCATGGGCAATCCTGTGGGTCCTCCCTGTGTACAAATGCATCTTTCCGAACCACCGGGAACTAGCTATTCCATCTTTGCGTATTGCAGAATTATCTTCTCTTGGGAGCAGGTATTGATTGTTACATCACTTGTTTGTGAGAGAAACGTCATCAATTTTTGAGAAAATGAAGTAATTCTCTCACACAAACCAATGACGTAACAATCAATCCCTGCTCCCAAGTGAAGATAACTCTGCAATACGCAAAGACGGAATAGCCTTACATGATTCCACACGGTCCCAACACTGCCATTAAATGTAAAATGCCGGCGTGCACCCATCTAGCCGCGGACCACTCTCGACGTTGCTGAACTTGTACCTCCTCAATGAAAAACAGTGTACGTTGCTGTTACACATACAGCCTCGTCATTCGGGTTTTTTCACAAGAAATGGTGTCTATATCCTAATCACCAGTGTTCCTCTTTGTAATAATTCAAAACGTTACATACAGCCTCATCATTGCTACATATTTATTCATTTAGACAAAAGGTACGTACATCAATTTTTTCCTGTGAGTTAATTAAGAAACAAATATTTACAACACCATCACAAGTACTCCTGTCAGTAACAATTCAAACGTAAATAGCCCCGTACCCTATGTTTCCTCTGGTTGATCATTCAGACAGATAATTAGAGTGGTTAGGGGAGAAACGGTACATACTGTATCATCAAGTTTTATCTACTGACTGTCACAACACAGTCGTATGTTAGGTAGTACGACACCCCAGTGTCCTATATGAGTTAGATCATGCAAGTCAAATTTAAGTTAATGGCGCCATACAGAAAGAAATTTAAGTATAAAGGTTATTTGAAATAATTTGTTCGAACGATTTGATGCTGTTATAGCTAAATACTTGTAAAAGGCATGTTGAAACGATTTCTCAGTAGCTGACGAATACACATAAGGATTAAACATAATTTGTTTTATGTTCATGCCGGTATGAACGCATATTATTTACATATATAGTCCATGAAGTCCATCATCATCATCATCATCATCATCATCATCAATCTTTATTTCCCCCGATATGGAGATAAATTGTACATAAACATATCATGTAAACATTGAAACACATGATTTATATATATACACATTTGCAATAACAGTAGACACTGAGGAAGACAATTTCCTTGGTCCAGTCATTCACAAACATTCTCTCCCTCCAACATACACGCACGCACGCACGCACGCACACACGCACACACACACACACACACACACACGCACGCATCATCACACACGCGCACATACCTCTTTGCACATACACGCTAGAGCACACACACCAATCATCAGACTTATGCACGCACACATCATCACACACACGAGCACGAACACTTCCTCACACACGCACACAATTAAGCACACACATCTCACAAACGCTCGCAAACATCCTCACACACACACGAACGCGCCCTTTCTCACACACGCACGCACTCACACACTTAAGCACACACACCTCACAAACGCACGCACACATCCTCGCACACACTCGAACGCATCCTTCCTCACACACGCACGCACATATTACTGTTATGCGCTACCATCAATATTCAGCTAGTATTTACACATACTAATTAATCAATAATTAGTGATAGGATAATAGCCAAATAGGATTTCTCAGACCATACGATTTCGAATGATCATCATATGTCATCACAGTTCAATATATGTTATATTACTTTATTTATTATTGGTTAGAAAACACAATTGTGGTTCAGCAAATAGATGAGTAGCAGAGCCTGCTCAGTTATTGCTATAATAGATGTGCATAGCTTCCCTGATGAAGGCTGCACACTGAAATCGTCTCTGGTGGGGCGGTCTGGCAAGTCTGGGGCTAGGGACTCTGCACCAAAAAGTGCACACAGGAAGTCCTCGTCTTCCATGTCATTTAGATAACTATAAACCTGTGGTCCATACTCTTTGAAATTACACCGATCGCATTGCGTTCAAATCCCTACGGACGCAATTTCTTCTTGTAATGCTTATATAGGAATTTGTGGTGGAAACTTAAACATATGCTCATGGCGGAAGGGATTGCCATTTGGCAAACATAAACTTACTGTATTGCATTGTTTCATGTAATCGATGATAAGTGCTCAAAAATGTATTGGTGTATTCATGGTACAATACATGTTAAACTGATGGTTATTTTATTGGTTTCAATGTACATTTTGTATATCCTATTTGAATTATGTCTAATTTAATCAACATGCCTAACAATCAAGTTTCATTCTTGTCAATATTGATTACTCTTTTACCTTTTAAACACGATCACAGATCGACCCAGACACTGGTCCGTTTGAGGGACAAACACCTATCACCATCCACGGCCACAACTTCGGGTCAATTCATGCTCAGGAATGGCAGGCTCGTGTAGGCAACTTGGAATGTGCAGTCAGCTACAGAAACTTCACAAGGTTTTTCTTCTTTTCTCTAATTAAGATATATCAGTCAAAATTGGCTAAATAAACAAAACAAAAGTGATGAAAGTGAAAGAAAATGCTACATTAGTATAGTTTAAATTCGCGGGGATAATAATTCACAGTTGTCCCAATCGGGGAATTAAGTTTTACCTGACATTCCCCGGTAACAGTGTCACGACAACGAGTGTACCTTGGGTAATGGTATTTATTTTGCACATATTTTATCAAAACAAAGTAAAATACGATATTGAGTTGTTAATGGGATTTTTTATTCTTTATCTCAGTATATATAGATATTCATGGATATTATTATTTATGGTATTAAGATTTGCGAAAATAAATCCCCCGCAAATATTACTAGCTATACAGTATTAATTGGATTCCTATATGAAAAGGTAATGATAGTTGTAGGTATAAAACCGAACCCCTTCGTTGCAAATACAAAGTGAGAAAAATACTAAAAAACTTTTTAAAGTAAGGTTCTAGTATACCACGGAATCTAGTCTAGATGCTAGCTAAGTCAATAGGGATACCAAGATAACCAGTTTTAGTTTTACAACAGTTGACTCAGTCAGTTTATCATTTCAGTCTAGTCTGCATTGCTCCACCAGTGATGATGGCTGAATCAGTACCTGTGTCTGTGAACATTTCTGACGACACCAAAACAGGAATCAAGTATAAAATCGAGGGGACTTATTCTCTGTCAACAGCTCTCTTCAACTACAAGGTAGGAATATATAGTTTCTGTATCGCCCGATATATCACATTATCATGGTATCACAATACGATACGTATCATAATACTACACTCATACGCATACGTATCGCAACGATCAAGTACAAAATAGACATATTCTCTGTCGACAGCTCTCTTCAACTACAAGGTAGGAGCATAGTCTCTTTATAACTTGATGAGTCACAATGTCTTGGTATTACGGTACGACTCATTATACAGTCGATTGTATCACAGTATAACAGTACTATATATGCTGGCAGTCCAGATATGAATCACATTTTGTTATTTACTACAGCCATAATACAACCAAAGTTCTTTAAACATTGTACATATTACTCAGAAATATCATCATTGTGCATTTGTGGATTTAGATTAACGTAGATGACATACAAAACCAATATACCGTAGGAAAAGATAAATTATTACAACATAAAAAAATATTTTAATCTTTGTCTCTAGTCGCCAAAGATGGCCAACTTTACACCCAGTTTTGGACCAATGTCTGGCGGAACAATCGTGGTTATCAAGGGAGATAACCTAGATATTGGGAAGGACCGTTCTGTGAGGGTAGCCAATGTTCCTTGCATTCTGAAGAAGTGAGTGTCTTAATAAAAGTGGACCAGTGATTTAGATTTCTCAGATGTATATCTCTACATAAATTTTACTAAATTTCTTAAATAAATACAATAATTTCAATAGAAGATCAATGATATGATAAAGACATATCCTTGTACTTGTCTTTAATTGTGTCCAGATAGATCGAATGTTTTCTTTAATATGTTTAAACAACTAAAGGTTCTTCTAAGATTTTTCTGTTTTGTTGATATTTTTGATTTGTTTTACCTCCAAACTCGTGAAAATAAAACTTTTGCAACAAAATAAGCAGTATAATAATTCTATATTCAGATAAAGCACAATACTAGATAAGTGTCAATAAACCACTATTTATAAGGAACATTCATGTTTAAAGATAAGTTCTTCACAAATGTCAGTTAAAGCTGAATGTCACATGATACCAGAGGAGTTGTAAACAAAAGACTTTCCATTGTTTTGAAACAGTCACAACGTGACCATGATTATCTGTGAGACGACAGCCTGGACACCAGGAGGGTCCGGACGAGTGGTGAGCGGCCCGGTGGAGGTCACTATAGACGGGACCAAGTTCCCCATCTATGCGGATTTTACCTATATGACCGATTCTACCATCTCTAATGTGTCCCCACCACGATCTATTGCCAGGTCAGCCCTCACAACGATTTAGATACCGTTGCTACCAAATGTCCAACATATATGTAGATGGTAGACAACGTATTCTTTTGCAAAATGTGTTCATCATACAGTATGGCAGACCAAAAACCACTTCTTTACCGGCACTGGGTCACCACTGTAGGTGCAGGTTCGACCCCCGGCATCGACCTTAGACCTCTGAACAAAGGCTTGATATAATGTATACGTATTACTTGTTCGTAGCAGCTTGACAAATACCTTCAGAAAGTTGGCTCTTTTTCTTCTCGGGAATCAGTTTTCATAACCTCTTTCTCGAAATCTACAGTTGACATCAAATCAATTTCATCAATTTAACATTTTACTGCATCGGTCTTTAACTTGGTAAGACCATCAATTGTTTCTTGTGTCATTCTCGTCTGTGATTGACACGCCCATGTAGTTCTTTCCTGGGTAACTGTTACCTCACTAATTCTAACATGAGTATCTGAACCTCGTTATTTTTCTCCGTGCATTTTTTTGTTACCTGTATATTATATATATTTATTAATTTCCACAGCGGTGGTATCAATCTGACAGTGACGGGGACAAATTTACACATCGTGGCTGATCCTCAGATAGGAGTCACAATTGTCAAGACCCAGAAGACACCTCCCACCAAGGTCAGACATTAATTACAGGCATTCATGCTTTTTAACTTATTTCTGTCCTTGCACTTTTTTGCCGTTTCTTAACTATCTTTGTTACTGAAATTGACCTCCGCATGTTTGTATGACAGACGTTCTCATAAACAATCTACATCTGTATTACAGAAATGTAAAGCTTCTGCTAATGGACACACAATGTACTGCCGATCAGTAAACATCACCGGCTATGTTGATGGGCAACTTCCTGTCCGGTCCGAGGATTATCACATTTGGTTCAAAATGGATGGCATCGAGGAACTTGGCCAGAAGAATTTTGTTGACCAGGGATGGGCAATATTTCGATATTATCCCGATCCTAACTTCTACAAGTTTAGTGGCAGTGGACATTTGCGTTACATGGACATCACCGAGACGAAGTTGGACATTAAGGTAACTGTTGCTATGCAACATCGTCCGTCGTCATAAATCAAACGAACGTGTTCCACTTATTTTTGTGAACCGAGAGACTTAAAAGTCAATATATTTGGTCCTTAGCTTATCGGGGATGTGGGACTGCCAGTTTTGTTTTCAAATCAATGACATACATCTACTTTCAAGGTCACAAGGGTCAACTTTAATAAATCTTCAAACTACCTCTTTCAAAGATATATAGTATCTGGAGTACTAATATGATGGCTATAGCATGCAGGCTGAAAGTCTTTAAGTATGTTTTATGCAATGACAGTGGACCACTTACATGTTACTGTGGTTTACTGTGTTAAAAACTTCAGACGATATTTTCTTCTAAAGATCCATAAGGCAAAGGCAAAACGTTACAATATTTGATCCTTAAGCTTGTTGAGATGGAGAACTATCATTTTTTTCATATAAATGACCTCGGCATACTGTCAGAATAAAAGGAAGCAAATGCATTTAAAAGCTCTTATAAATATCAAATGAGTCAAGAGTAATGACAAATAGATTGTATGTTTCTGGTATAAAGCGTATAAAGATTGTTCAAAAACATGGCTGATTTGAAGGGCTATTACATTTGTTGGAACTACTTACTTGACCCACTTTCTATGTAACCGGGTCAAATTTGTTTTAATGGAAAAAAGAAGATCCCTGAGCTGTTGTTGGTGAAAGTATTAACATGTGCAATGCTACATAAATAATATATTACACAGTTATATACTAAGTATTGTAACTTGCACCTGGTATTGATATTGGCGTTATATCTTCAGACCATGTTATGGTCTTCCTTTCGTAAGTCAAAAGAGTTGCGCAGTCACAAGGGTGTACAACTGGACAGATATAACAAGCGTGTACAACTGGATGGTTATGACAAACTTCAATAAGTTAATGCCACTTTCAGGTGAAATTTGTATCACTGATATTTATCATGGTTATTTGAAAATAGGTATTGTTTATTCTGGGAGTTAGGATGATCATTGTAGATAATATAAACAAAAATAGTCATAATCTTACAAATGTTTTTCAATAACATGAACCTGAATGATTTTGCATGTTTTTAACCTGATGAAATATGCGAAAACAGAGTTGTTTCAATAAACAAATAAAAGCTTATTTATCTCTACAAATAAGTTTCAATCATCTCTCAGATAAAACCACATGAGATTAATTTCTCTTCTTGTATCCGGAAGAATGATCTGTCGTTGTTTCTTTGGTCTGTTACAGGGAGAGCACCTAAACCTGGGAATATCTGTCAGGGATATGGCCGTCAGGGTCGGGACAGATGGTGTGTGTAACATCACCAAGCTGCAGGACACTGTCATGCACTGTACCCTACATAACAAGCCTGCCAAGGCTTCACCGCAGAAATACCGTGTTACGGTAAGTGTATAGCTCTGTTAGTTGTTTCTATGTTATATTTACAATATTTATTTATTTTAAGCACTGAACGATCTTGCGAGACATAAGTACCATTTTTATATTTTTAATTTCCTGAATTGATCATGTATAGACAAGACTTAAGAGCCGATATCCGGATAATTTAAACACCACTTGAAAACTACAGAACAGGATGATTACTGGTAAAAAATACCTTGAATATGTAATGATAAAATTGAAGACACGCGTGGCAAGCTGCTTGATCGGTTTCAGTTAAAATATCTGACCAACCTTATAGCTGATATTTGTCCTTTGAGGATTTCAGAGCAGCGAAACCCGAGTTCAAAGTTAGTCAGTTCATGTGATTTACTTTAAAGGATCAACCTAGTCTAGTTATACATTGTTTCATTGACAATGTGCAGAGCCTTCGATTTTATCATGACACTATCCAGGGGTTGCAGAGAATGTAAACAATGTTAAGCTTGGAATTTCCAAGTTGCCTGTTCTCATTTTAACCCTTTTATGCACCTCGTGCAAAAAAAAAACCCCAAAGCTTTCCCACTCTTAATTTCCCATACAGTATGTCTATTTTTAAGCCTTGCTTTAGATTGCTTATTTGATATCTAGGTCAAAAATAGAAATCGCTGCTTTTGAAAGATCGATTTTAATTCAGTATCTTTGAGAAAGGCAGTATGCTTGCTTCATGCTGATTTACTTGAGAGTTTTTATGTATTTATTCCCGGCTACTTCGCTGATATCAAAGTCTCCCAATGTCTAGAGTATAGGTCACTGATTAAAAGGTGAAAAATAATGTTGCTGATCTAAATGTCTTACTGCTTGTACCAGTCCTATTTCAAGGTAAGTGTGAAGTATTATCTAATCAAAACGAAATGGTGGTCATTCTTTTTAAACAGTAAAGGGAAGATGTCAACAAATGTTTGCATCGTTTGATTTGTTTTATTATCATTTGTACATATGGAAATTATCATCGTTTAAATTTGGCAAATTATTTCTAATTACCATAAGATATTTTCGAAATTAAAAACCTCTGACGAAACACAAAAAAGATCGCTTCGCTAGATGATTTTGAAAGTTAGTTTGTTAATTAAGAACACCAATTGAATTGGGATTATGAAATAACGGTTTTATCTCACGATTTTGTCTCCAAAGGTAAGGAACTGAATGAAAATCAAGTGTTATAAAACTATTTCAGGTCACAGCTGGTGGGATAGAGAAAGATATTGGATTCCTGGTTTTCACCTTGACAGAGGAGACTACCCCAATCATGACCATCATCCTCGTCGTGGCCCTCGTCGTTGTCATCGTTCTTATCATTATCTTAGTAATCATTTTGAAGAAAAAATATATTTATCCGTTCAAAAAGCCATCAGATTCCTACATGGCCCAGTATCAGTCCGTCCGCACGGACGCTAACGGCCAGAGGGTAACGGATATTCAGAACCGAGCAAATGGTTTGTATTAAACAAAAGATGCGTTATTAGCTTTAAGGATTAAGGTTCATTGCACGTGTAATCAAATCTTAGACTAATGACATAATTATTTTACATCAATACTCTTAATGTCATTTTTTGCTTAGATTTCAGTATTTGTTCAGATTTTTATGAAAATAGAATAATGGAGAAATATATGTTATCGTGAAATTAAATTGATGAAATATTAACATCAACTTAAATATATCAGTAATGTCAATGACAATAATATAAAGTTAATTATAAATATCATGCATTATATTTTTTCATAAAATGTATTACATGGCAAAACACATAAACATTGGAAATGCAGTTTATTTAAATAAAAATCATAAATTATTGACTGGGAGGTGCATTTTTGACAGACTATGCAGAACAGCGGATGTCGGAGAGCGGAGCAGCAGCCTCCCTTCTGTCGGGTATCGATGATGACACACTGTTGGTTCTCCGAGACAAAAACCTTCTAATAGAGCGAGAGTGGCTCACTCTTGGGGAGATCCTTGGGAGAGGTCAGTATTTGTTATTTATTTGATGGAGGGGACTAATAGTTGAGAGGTTAGAATAGTGTGGCCACACCTTGAGAATTATCGTGGAGAGGCTGAGAATAGCGTGAACCTGACACGAGAATGTTACTTCCCAACACTTTGTCAATATCACAAGTAAAACAATATAAAATGAAAATACATATGTATACCACAGATAGCATAGGAAATGTTGCTAATCTTTTGGGAAAACAGCGTATATTAAAATGAGAAAAGATCGGGACTGTTTCAGTGGTTCAAGTGTAAGTTTTGCTTTTAACGCTACAGTATTATCAATTATTTAATAAAAACGTTCAATAATAATTTTAAGTATTTGTTCAAGTATACTATAATATAGTACTTGAGGAATCCAACCATTTGACGGGGTTTACATTTAATTATTTCAACTTTCAACAAATTGAATTCACAATTACAGTTACTTTATGCAACAGTGACTTGACCTTATTTCAGGTCACTTTGGCTGTGTACACATGGGCTATCTGACTTTCCCTGACACAAAAGGAGACACGCTGGTTGCAGTCAAGACATTACACAGTGAGTAAATGACCATTATTAAAGAATAAAAACTAACAATTAAAAACCCATTACTGTTTCCTGCATGTCAAAATCGTACAGAAATTTTAATCTTCATACATCTCCTAAATCATTTCGTGTGCTTATATAATCGCCTAACTCACAATAGACTGGTATTTGGTGTGGAGCAAGGAGATGCACTTTATTCCCTGTATTCCAAAACACAAGAAAAAGTGTTATTTTTCAAAGTAAAAAGGCATTGTGGGACAAGTATGAAACTTTCACAAATTAAATATCATCATATAACAAATATATATGCCAAGTTGCATGCTTGTTCAAAAATAACTTTTATGAACAATTAGCATATACATTGGGAATAGGCAGAACAATTGATGAAAACATTGAAATGGGTTAACTTAAACGATTAAAACAGATATTTTCCTTGAGGCTAGGAGACTTAAATTTACCAGCAAACCAAATTTCATATATTAAATTAATCATTTTACTGTAGTTGTGGTTGCAAATGCCATTTTTTTGTATTTAGTTTATTAACTATTAATATGTTATACTTAAAGCGTATAAAGGGTGTCCTGCACCGTTTAATTCACTTAATGTAGAGATGTATTTGAAATTGCCAAGTTTGTGTAGAAGCCATAACTATTATAAAACAAAAGGAATGTGCATTTTATGTACATGTACGTGTACTCAAATGAGTAAACTTGTAAATTTCATCTCAAAATATAAATAAGAAAAGAAACTATTGAGAAAACAACACATTTTACAATTGAAAATTACCTAAAAGTACCCTCTGACTCAATCCTCCGTTTTATATACATGTAAGCTTTTTAAGTGACGAATGAATTTCTATCATTTTTCATTCTTTTATATATGCCTGTTGAATTTACACATGTTTTCAAAAACAGGAAAGGTATTAGCTTGATTGTTTTAGCTCGTTTTCAAAACAGCAAATTATATTTGTTATTTATCTTCCCCTTTTTTTGTACCGCATAAACCTACTTTCGGTTTTTGCGCATGTACTGCAATAGGACAACTTTGGACAAATTAAGGAGGACAAATCCGGATATTACCGGGGCCCAAAAAAAGGCCTTATATTCATCCTTTAACTTTCAATAAATTTGAATATAAATTTTATATATTTTAAAACAATTATAGAACAAGTTATTTCAACTTATATTAATCATTCTTGTTGGCCCTGATGTTAGCGCGTGAAAAGCGAATGCGCTATCCTCTGCACCACACATAACTTTCAATAAACTGAATTCACAATGTACAGTTACTTTAGGCAACACTGGCCTGGCCTTATTTTTATATTCCTTGATCACCTTGATCACATGTAGCACTATATTTCTTGATCATTTATTGCACTTCATTATCTGGTCATGTGTAACTCCTATTTTTAAATGTTTGTAGATGACAGTCCAAGAGAAATTGATGTGCAGAGTTTCCTTGAGGAGGCCATGCGTATGAAAGACTTTCACCATGATAACGTACTGACCTTGACTGGAATCTGTTTCGGAATGGATGACATGCCCTTGGTTGTGCTGCCATATATGAGCCATGGTGATCTCTTATCCTATATACGCAACGCCCATAATGTAAGTCTATATGTCTGTATTTTCCTTTCCTGCAAAATATATATATGTGACCTACCACTGCGTCAAGACACAAACATAAAATACTCACATTATACAAAACTACAAGACATATTATTAATCATAATGTGCCAGATATATGAAAAACACGCAAGTTTAAGGTCATGTTTTGAAAAACCATTATCTTTTTCTCCTGGTGTATGTTAAGAATCAGCGATCTATGTGTATGTTGTTATGGTCTAAAGGGCCGAATGTTGCCTCCCCTTGCCGAAAGAGCGAGACCCGAAATAGTTTAAAATCAAAAGACAACATGTTAAGTACGTGCAAAGAGATTTTTAACTTCTTCGGCAAGAGGTATGATTGGAGGGATTTTGACCTACCTACTTGGAACATGCTTTGATCGGGGTTCGATATTTTTTTCTCTCAAAATAACAACAACAAAATAAAAATAAAAAACTCCAGAAATTACCAAAGCGTTAAGCAAAACCATAATCCCAACTCATTATCAATGAAATTAGGGCAAAATACGAATAAAGCAAAGATTTACATGGAGACCTTTGAATAAGTACACGGAGAATAGGAGCAGAATTTCCGAAAAGGTAGGCAACTTTTGCTTAAAAATTTAGGGTGTGGTTTACCTTTTATGTTCGTTTCAGAATCCAACAATCAAAGACTTGATTGTGTATGGAATAGACATAGCACAGGGAATGGACTACCTCTCTGGACTTAAGTTTGTTCACAGAGATCTGGCCGCCAGAAACTGTATGTAAGTAAATATCTGCGGTCATGTTAAACTTTTTTTTAAAGTTTTAGCAAAGGTCTTGTGGCCGGAAAATCTATTTCGGTAAAAACATTTGTGCAAGTTATACAATGTACGTTAAGTTGTTGACGAACACTTGGCAGGTGAAGATCTAGTTACTTTCTTGCTATCAAATGTCGTGTGCTTGTTAACTTTTAGAAAACTGTCGCTACCATTACCTAGGAGAGAGTGCATTTTTTGCAAAAGATCATTAAACAATAAAATTCTTTTTTTTTTTATTTAAAAATTGATTCATCATGAAGACTTCCTGTTTTGTTGAATGGTAAAAAAGCAATGATGCATCTGTTGTATTCGTTAGTGTTGTTTCTCGTTTGGTTTTCTCATGACCAGAGACTTTTGTCAGTTGATATTATACTAAGCCGTGTATTACATCCTCCTCTGTTTATCATCGATAGATTTGCATAATATGTAATTCATTTAACATCGCTGAGCAAATGTTTTGTTTTATAACCTTCAGTGAGGTAGAATCAAATTGGGATATATTCACTGAATTATCGCTATGTAAAGAAAATATATCGAAAAGAGGTTTCAAGGGTTAAGATATGTATCTGTACTTGTGTTGACCTTTTTAAAAAAAACAAAAACTTATTGGAACATCCTGACTGATGAACAAATGATACTGAATGTGATATAATGTACATGTACGTTTGCAGGTTGGATGAGAATTTTAAGGCCCTAGTAGCTGACTTTGGTCTGTCCAGGGACATCTATGAGCGGGACTACTACAGCAGTGACAACAAAAAGAGTAAACTACCGGTCAAATGGATGGCCCCGGAGAGTCTTGAGAAGGGCAACTATAACTCAAAGTCTGATGTGGTCAGTGGGATGTTTGTATACATTATTAATGTTTTTAACAATATTGTCTATCAAAAATGCAAGGTGCAAGGTGTACGACTCTGCTGGTGGTTTCTTATCCCCAAGGTTCACCGTAACCTTGATGAATACAGTGATCTCTTTTGAGCAGTGGCACGGTTCATAATGTATAAACTTTATCTTATGTTTCCCTAATTGGTGGAATGCATATAAATAAGGGGTTTCACTCACCCTCCATTTCGACAGTAGTTGAGATGGGTTTGGATTTACATCTTTGTGGCCCCTTTCACCACCGATTAGTCCTAGAAAGACGTATAGAGTGTACTATAGAGCAGTGTCATTGTATCCATTACCAAAGTGTATTGGTGTAATCACGTGCGTGTCTTACGTTAATCAATTAGTATGAAACTATTTATAACGTATCCGGAGAGAAGACAAAGCTGGTTTCGTGTGTATGGACGATTCACTTATGACAAAAAATATTAAACATCAAATTAAGTATGTCCGATTGGCATTTTGTTTTTCCAGTGGTCCTACGGTATCTGCCTGTGGGAGCTGATGACAAGGGGAGTTAACCCTTACCCAGAGGTCGATAACTGGGACGTGTTGAGATACATCAAGGCGGGTAGAAGGATGCCACAGCCTCCATTCTGTCCCGATAGTCTGTAAGTAAGCTAAAGGTCAATATGTAACTGCAATATAAAGTTTATATTACAGAGCTCGATTAAAACTTAATTTAAACCACTTAAAATTGTGTTTACTTTATTTTCACAAATAATAGTTCTGAGCGAATAAATGCTTGAGCCATGTTTAAATCATAAAAGTACTATACTCTAGTTCTTAATAATGGCATGACGTCGATTCTGTATACCGGGTTGTCCTTTTGTTACAGAAAAATACCCTTAATTACTTGCAACGTTCGACATCAGTTGTTTCATAACACTCTAGCCACACATCACTAAATTTCAGCCCTGTTGTAGCTTTTGGCCCTCACATAATGAAATACAAACACTGTTTCGTATCTTATTATTTCAGATACAAAATCATGAAAAAGTGCTGGATGTTTAATCCCAATGATCGTCCCACCTTCTCAGAACTGTCTCACGGAGTACGTGAGATGGTCACTATTTTACAGCATCAGATGAGACAGGGACAGCAGCGAAGTGATATACAAAGTACCTACGTGAATGTAGAAACTGCGACCGATTATCACTATGGCGACGCCTGCCAGGCGGCCGTCATGACAACTGATGCCTCAGAACACATTCCACCAGCAGAAACAAACACTACCATGACATAGTCGCAGAGCTCAATAGTCGTACTAGTAATAAGTCCATACAAATGTAATTTTTTTTTTTAAACTTTTGTAATGCTATAAAATGTATATATTTTTATTATGTCATGGACTTTTTTTAAAGTTTTAAACATGTGTTCAGGAAACATGTGTGTAAGCTTGACAATACCTGCCCAGAGTGTGTGGACTTTTTGGTCTTAAATATGTCTTAGTGAAATACATGAAGCAACCTCTTTACTGTTTGTATCATTTTTGTGATGAATAAGATGAACAACTGATTTGTTCGAAATGAAATTTTATTGTATGCACACCTTCAACTTATTCTTTTGTACTTAAAAAGAAAAAAATGTTTAAAAAACATACTACTTGCTAAAATAATTTAGAAGCTTGACATGGAACACATTGTTTTCTTTCTCAAAACGATTTAATTTTAGTTACGTTTAATTAAAGTAACACAGAGTTTACGAGGAAGTCGGGGACTGAAAAGGCAAAATTGAATTTCACAGATACATTAAAGGATGTCCAACGTTGAAGTTCTTCACGAGAAACGTTCTGGAGCTAAGATACCCCGGAAAACCAATTTGTAAAACAATTGTTCTGAGTGTGCAACGGCAGTGTCCTGACCCAACTGTGCTATGTAAAATATAAACTTTACAACAATTACGAATCAAGATGTTACTTCCTATATTGATCACTTTTGATGGCCAGGATTTTAGCGCGCAGGGCGTCTTAATGTGGGGAAGAAACCCCAACTGTGCGACAGTTCATCTGAAAGAAAAAGAAAGTAAGTGTATACTACTGTATGCATGGAAAAACCCACAGTGCAGTGTGACAAAGATCCTTAATAAAATCAGCTTGTTATATGTTGTCAAGGGATGATATGTATGTTTATGGTCAACACTTAATAAGTGTAAGTTGAGATGACTCATTATAGAATGAATTGTCGTGTGGCTCTCGATTATTTTTGACGTCACATTTACTACCTTATTTACGATCATAAGAAATACGAAATCAATATTATTTTCAGAGTAAAGATTGAAAAAACTGATTCTTGGCATATTGTGAAATAGTTTCACAGGCAGCATCATATAGTGTTGTCAAAAATAAACAGAATTTAAATCATATGTTGATAAATATCAAATAGTTTAAAAGTTAATAAACCTAATTATTCAAGCTAAAAGTTTATATTCAATCAGCAATGTTATAGATTGTGAAACTTTAACTTCCATGTATGACTGACTTTTATAGAAATGTATTAATGTACAAATGTGATGTTTGAAGTCTTGCCCATGAGTTGTAAATGCTTTTTGATTTTATAGATATTTAAAACAAATGTTTGTTCTATCTTTCGTGTTTGGTCTTTACTCTGAGATTGTGCATCAAAAACGTGCAGTGGAGGATTCGGGATGGATTTGGTGATGGTTATAACATAATGCGTTAAGCGTTTCTGTGAATTTTACTGATTTAGGATTTATCTATTTTGTACAATTCACTTCTGAATTGCCTCTCGTGAATCTTTATAGAAATAAAGGTTTGAACTTGTTTCACACAAAAATGAATATGTCTTTCCTTATGCACTGGTGACATGTCGAAATCAATGCAGGTCAATAGGTCACAATATTCCAATATCTGGAGGACAAGGTCTCATTCTTGTCCTTATATGTGTGTGAAAGGACTAGGGGCGTAAAGGGTCATTTCCGGAATCATCTGAGTTTTAGAAATAGTTGTTATATTCGTAATCTAGAATAAATGAAGTACGCAAATATAAAGTTTCAAAATCATACGACAACTGGTTTAGGAGATATGGCATTACAAAGAGAGACATAAGCAAGCATTTTGCGCGTTTGGTTGAAATTTTGCCATTTGGAAGGAAATTAACAAAATACTCTTCAATTTTTGGAAGCCTCCGCATGCTCCAAACAATAAATATCTGACATGCTTAAACATCGGCACACCAGTGTTTACTCATCGAAAGGAATGTCACATGCGGAGGGTTTCATTTTTGCATGCTAACTGTCATAAACACCATATTTTGGCTATTTCTGCATACATGTAGCAACACATTTTTTTGCTATGGTAGGCCATCTACGCATGCGCTTTGAAAAAAATCAGCACAAAGAAAGCTAGCCCCAATTAACCAATATGATGTTTATAATGTTTTGGTATTTTGCTAATATTATATTGGGAGGTAAACGATCAATATCAGCAGAAAAATATACATACTTTAAATATTTTAGAGTCAAATGGAGTTCTGATTAAATTCCCTCTCCAAACTAGTGTTTGTTTTGATAAAATAGACTTTTTTGAAAATGATATCAAAAAAGATATCCTCGCACGGCACTTAAATCTTCTTACATTTAAATTGTCAATGTAACGATAATCAGCAGCCAAAAAACATGTTGTACAGTTAAATTGTCATAAAAGTATCATCAAGTGAAAACTGCATACTTAAAAATAATTCTTTAAATAGCATGACAGTTTATTGGGACGTTTTGCTACAAGTGTCCCGTTTTGGGTACTGTTACGTTTTGGGTACCGTCCTGTTTTGGGTACTGTCCTGTTTTGAGTACTGTCCCGTTTTGGGTACTGTCCCGTTTTGGGTACTGTCCTGTTTTGGGTACTGTCCTGTTTTGAGTACTGTCCTGTTTTGGGTACTGTCCCGTTTTGGGTACTGTCCTGTTTTGGGTACTGTCCCGTTTTGGGTACTGTCCTGTTTTGAGTACTTTCCTGTTTTGGGTACTGTCCTGTTTTGGGTACTGTCCTGTTTTGGGTACTGTCCTGTTTTGGGTACTGTCCTATTTTGGGTTCTGTCCTGTTTGGGGTACTGTCCTGTTTTGAGTACTGTCCCGTTTTGGGTACTGTCCTGTTTGGGGTACTGTCCCGTTTTGGGGACTGTCCTGTTTTGGGTACTCTCCTGTTTTGGGTACTGTCCTGTTTTGGGTACTGTCCTATTTTGGGTACTGTCCTGTTTGGGGTACTGTCCCGTTTTGGGTACTATCCTGTTTTGGGTACTGTCCCGTTTTGTGTACAGTGATGACGGGAGCATCAAGATTGATTTCCGGTGAAACGTACAATTGAAACTGACAGATGAAAATACTATTTTACTTGACAGTTAAATAGGGGTGGTGATGTTCCGGTGATATTCCGGTGTTTTGTGAGTCATCTCCAGGATGATACCCTTCATAATCCTGCTGATATATTTGCTCTATTTTGTCATTTTAATCTTAAAGAATGATATATTAAAGGGATTTAAAGTTTCTTTTGCTATATTGTTGAATTCAGTAGAGATCTGTGCTTTCTTTCCACTTTTAATGTAATATAAAGCAGGTGGTTCATGGTTATTTAACATGTTGTAAAATGTAAATATAGATACATGCATCAAATACTCAAGTATCATACATATTGTAGGGGTTGTACTATAAGGAGAATAACTCCCGAGTTTAGTAGTAAAAATGTGAACCAAGGAAGTATTTTCGTTTCTCCTATGTTTCTTCTCTGAAGCACGTATTTGTTCATAACATTGACATTTACAAATGTATGTATTTAAATGGCAATTTTAATGAATAAAAAATATCTTTAATACCACTGTGTTTTTATATATTCTTTACTGCTTGTTGAGTTTAACATAAAATGTCAAATACAATTGATAATTCAAATAATTAACCTATACTTTGAATCACATGGGAAAAGTCCACGAAATGATAAACAGAGATAAAGGCAGAATATCAACTACAACCCAATCTGCAGAAATGTAAAATTGCCAAGCACCGTGAGTGAAAAATGACGTCATTTTTCGTCTCTGGAATTCAGTAGATAACGATACAAAATCAAAAATCATTAACGTTCTCAAACAATTTCAATATTCTTGACTACTAAAGCACGTGTAGCATTTCGCCTCCTCCGGTATCCGTTGACATTCGAAGCTTGGCAAACGCAATAGCAAGTCCTTCTAGTTTTAACATCAATGTAGCCCTTGAAATTATGTTTTGTTCAGTGTTAATATTGCTGATTACAATCAACAGCTTGTCCGTTATCTGTTCCTAGTACATTGATGAAGTCGACAACACGACCCCAGTATAGGTAATAGTTTGGACTTTGAACCATTCACTGGAAGATCTTGACTTTGTAGACGTTATATTTATTGTCCTACCTGCACATTGACACAACGTCCCGGTTGCTCAATGGTTAAGAGTTAACTAGTGGTTAGGGAAACTTTAAATACGAACACAACAACATCAAGACTATCAGGTATCGTTGGACATGGGAAAAGTCCACGAAATGATAAACAGAGATAAAGGCAGAATATATTTATTGTCCTACCTGCACATTGACACAACGTCCCGGTTGCTCAATGGTTAAGAGTTAACTAGTGGTTAGGGAAACTTTAAATACGAACACAACAACATCAAGACTATCAGGTATCGTTGTACTGCTATAGATTGGTTGAGACAAAGAAGGTTGGTGTATTTTGAGGATTTCTTTTGCTTTGACGGCACTTGCTTCTTATTGGGAACGATTTGAATTTTTCACTAACCACTGGTTAAAGTTAACCAACGTTTGAGCAACAGGGGCTAGGATGTTAAAACAGACGATTTAGAAGAGAGTTGCTGTTAGATTGTGTCTAACATCAACAAAGAAAAGAGCAAACTGTTAAAGGTCAACACCAATGCACAGCTTCGGCCAACCATAAACTATAACATGATAGAATTAAAATGTTAGGTCTATCTTGTCAGCTAAATTGTAGCCGATTTTAAGAGCAGAATAACACAATCTCTAGCTTATTTTGCGAAGAACTGGATAGCATCAACCATCGACATCAACACAAGTTTTCGACAATAAAAGATGACGCTGGATCGACTTCGTCTATAGAATTATAGCATCAACTACTCCAAAGGTCGACAACAGCAAGCCAATAAACAAATGACGATCCAAGAAGACGTGGAGACTATCACGATCAGTGGTTACAGTAGCAAAATCTTGGGTAGACTTTGGGCGGAAGTTAGGGCCAAATATAACAAATGATAACAGAGATGACGCTCCTCTTTAAAGACATCTTGTACCCAGTAGCTCGAAAAGGATCAGTATATTATTCTCAATTATGGGGCAATAAATCAAAGCAAGATTTTACTTAGACTTGAGGATATAAATATGACTCTAACATAAGTTAAGCAATGAACTGATTTCAGTTGACATTCATAGGCAATAGGCGAATTCAATGAAGCGCTATAGCATTTCATGTTGGATTTGCCCAATTCACATTCATATTGCCTATGAATGTCAACTAAAAAGTAAATATTTATATTAACCATTTAAGAATCCGTTTATTTCAAAGAAAATTCAAATACACTTATCATAACTCAGCACTTAGTTCAAATAATGTTTTTGTCGTATATGCGTGTTGAATGAATAGAACAGAAGTCGGGTCAGTGTTATCCACTGTAACAATTATGACGTTGTAATAATGTTCACAGCTTATTTGAATGCCATCTGAACGTGGTAGGGATATAAAGAGGCAATACCATACGATGGTATATACTACAGTATACGTACGATTCCTCGACATGATGGTATATACTACAGGATACGTACGATTCCTAGACATGATGGTATATACTACAGTATACGTAAGATTCTTCGACACGATGGTATATACTACAGTATACATACGATTCCTCGACACGATGGTATATACTACAGTATACGTAAGATTCTTCGACACGATGGTATATACTACAGTATACCTACTATTCCTCGACATGATGGTATATACTACAGAATACGTACGATTCCTCGGGATGATGGTATATCCTACAGTATACGTACGATTCCTCGGGATGATGGTATATACTCCAGTATACGTACGATTCCTCGACATGATGGTTTATACTACAGTATACGTACGATTCCTCGGGCTGATGGTATATACTACAGTATACGTACGAGTCCTCGACATGATGGTATATACTACAGTATACGGACGATTCCTCGACATGATGGTATATACTACACTATACGTACGATTCCTCGACATGATGGTATATCCTACAGTATACGTACGATTCCTCGACACGAGGGTATATACTACAGTATACGTACGATTCCTCGAGATGATGGTATATACTACAGTATACGTACGAGTCCTCGACATGATGGTATATACTACAGTATACGGACGATTCCTCGACATGATGGTATATACTATAGTATACGTACGATTCCTCGGGATGATGGTATATACTAGAGTATACGTACGATTCCTCGGGATGATGGTATATACTAGAGTATACGTACGATTCCTCGACATGATGGTATATACTACAGAATACGTACGATTCCTCGGGATGATGGTATATACTAGAGTATACGTACGATTCCTCGACATGATGGTATATGCTACAGTATACTTACGATTCCTCGACATGATGGTATATACTACACTATACGTACGATTCCTCGACATGATGGTATATACTACAGAATACGTACGATTCCTCGGGATGATGGTATATACTAGAGTATACGTACGATTCCTCGACATGATGGTTTATACTACAGTATACGTACGATTCCTCGGGCTGATGGTATATACTACAGTATACGTACGACTCCTCGACATGATGGTATATACTACAGTATACGGACGATTCCTCGACATGATGGTATATACTACACTATACGTACGATTCCTCGACATGATGGTATATCCTACAGTATACGTACGATTCCTCGACATGATGGTATATCCTACAGTATACGTACGATTCCTCGACATGATGGGATATACTACAGTATACGTACGATTCCTCGGGCTGATGGTATATACTACAGTATACGTACGACTCCTCGACATGATGGTATATACTACAGTATACGGACGATTCCTCGACATGATGGTATATACTAGAGTATACGTACGATTCCTCGACATGATGGTTTATACTACAGTATACGTACGATTCCTCGGGAAGATGGTATATACTACAGTATACGTACGATTCCTCGGGATGATGGTGTTACGCGTGTTAAACGTATATTTAACAAAAACATATAGATTTGCCAAGTGATCATATTTCATATCTATATTTTTCCAGTGTTCATCTAAATTGACCTCGAGTTCTTTAATTGTAGTTGAGTCTATAGCTCTCTGTGGGAAACTGTTCCATGTTCTTATTGTCCTGAAGTTAAAATTGCAATATTTAATTTTTGTGAATGACCGTGAGTTTAACTCTTGCAAAGGTATCAGGAATGGTACGTTTAGTGTGGCCGGGGCTTAACTCACTTTTATTGTTTTGTTTGTCCCAGACTAAAATGTATGGTATTTATTGTTGCCAAAGTTCCCGAATAATTATGATAAGTATACTAGTCATAGTTAATAGAAATACATGGGTATGTCTTACATAACCTATTAAACATGTATCCAGGCATGGGAATTGCATTGTTCTACTGCAGTTTGCAACATGTTCAGGTAAATATCAGAACACAAAGGTTCCGTATATGGTACTTTCTGAATTCTATCTAACCATTTAATTATAACATGATGTTTGCATTTTCCAGATACCAAAATCAACGCAGTTAATAATTAAAGCCGTTCGTTTTGTTTTGATATCTCCTCAGGTTCTGTTGAAGTTTCGTCATGAACTTACTTTAAGAACTTGTCTGTTTTTTGGTGACAATGTTATTTATTATTTCTATCCTACATTCATATTTTTGAGATAACAGCGTTTGTTTTCAAATTCTGTCAGCTACCGACTTGGTTTGAGAGTATATTACGACTACTATAACCCATTCTGGCAGCTACCGACTTGGTTTGAGAGTATATTACGAGTACTATAATCCATTCTGACAGCTACCGACTTGGTTTGAGAGTATATTACGAGTACTATAACCCATTCTGACAGCTACCGACTTGCTTTAAGAGCATATCACGACTACTATAGCCCATTCCGTCAGCTACCGACTTGCTTTAAGAGTATATTACGAGTACTATATAACCCATTCTGACAGCTACCGCCTTGCTTTAAGAGTATATCACGACTACTATAGCCCATTCTGTCAGCTACCGACTTGCATTAAGAGTATATTAGGAGTACTATAGCCCATTCTGTCACACACAGGTGGAAGAAATGATTAAATTTTGGCAAATATGTTAATAGATATCTTTACCATTTACATTTCGTACTACAGAACATACTGTTCACGTGATGTTACATCATACTGTACTTTGACATATTTATTCTTTCCCGACCGACTGTACTCGTTCTGTATATTTCTCCACGGGGTGTTGTCTTCGTCCATCTCCCATGTCTTGTTCTGTAAATTATGTTTCCTCTTAAAATTCTAATATAAACCAATAGGTTTTACTACACAGCTATGTAAAACAGCTATAAAATGTATATGTTATTGTACAACACAGTTGAATATAAACACAGAATCACTTGCAACAAAGATATTTATGTTTTATTTATTTAAAAAATGTCATCTAAATACAGTTTGTTATTATAATGAACAAATAGTTATACACAGTGAATGTTTATCATATTATAACGCACTTGCCCTTCACCGGGGTTCAATTCCCTTATCGGACGTGAAAATGTACCTGGCCGACTGGGTACTCCGGTTTCCTCCCACATTAAGACCCACCTGTGTGCTTCTACCCGGGCCAATAAGAGTGATCAATATAAGTTATAAAACTTGTTTCATAATTGTTATAAAAGAAATATACTTAATATATTTTAAATATGAAGCAAGAATGATTATTTATCATTTTTATTTCACACCATTTTTACTACAGACTCCATAGTTACATGCGACTCTAACATACCACCAATTTTCGATGCCTAATGTTTACATGTACATTTTGGAACTATACCTCAATATCTATATGTTTTAAGTAGCACCACAATATAGTTACAAGAATTGTATAAAAAATGGATATTATCTTAAATGCAGACATAAAACGTGAGCAAATCATGTTTTTAAAACAAAATATGTATCATGTGTTCCCATTTTAATGTCTTTTATTTCTCTGTTTTATAGAGCATATTGTAAAAACATTAGATAAAAGTAACAAAACACCCCATCCTGTTACAAAACAATATTTTTAATGTATCAAAAAGACTTGTGAACTTTTGAAATGATGAAAAACAATGGTATGATAAGGAAATCCTATAAACAGAGGAAGATACCTTGCACATTCATCAATAAAAACAATTTCATTAGTTGATCTAAGAAGAAGACATATGAAAATCTTCAAATTAAAGAATAATAATAAAACAACGTTTTTGCAACCTCCCCCAGGGTTCACAGCATTCTGTATTCTCATTAGAGAGGTATGTATGGAACACAGGGAGAGATAGATGTCATTTTATCCCTAGAAAATTTGTCGTTTGTCCGAAGTGAAAACATATGTTCATATACTGAATATGTATGTCACTATCATCAGGAGTTAATATTTACATTTTTAGAAGTCAAAGAAAGCTGCCATCAAATATCTTTTGCTCAGATACAGCAATGAAAACTAATTTTGAAACTTATAAAAAAACTATAATATAGGAGGTTTATAAACAGCAAGTTATTCAGAGGAAATTCAATTCACTGTCCCCACCCAAAGCTACTGTACCATAAATAGTGTCGATGGTACAATTATAACCATAATGATATGTTTATCTGCCAGTCCTTAAGGATCTCTGTCCAACCGCCCTGCAGTTTTCTTATATACAGTAACCGCCCCCTGAACTTCTGTTTAGATAGAACTGTAGCACATTTAATTTGGGCTCGTACATTTCCGTTGTCCAGGTAGCTCAATCGGTTTCAGCAACAATCTGAAGTCCAGAATTCAAATCCGGTCTGGCCCCACAGAACACGTTTGTTAATTATATTTTGTTTATCTAATCTTCATTATGTTTTCAAACAAGTCCTGCAAGGTATACTTCTCTTTTCAAAAATGACTAATCAAAGCTATAGGCATGCCTGAAAAATACATTTCTAAGGCATAGTTACATTTTTTGGCAGTGGTATGGGGATTCTTCACCATAAAAGGCCTTATAGCGGTATTTACATACTTCAATCACAAATATGTGTATGTTTATTTCAAATTAATGTACCAATCATGGAATGTTCAAGTATAAACAAATATATCACATTAAGTTCTTAGTCTAATGAGCCGTAAAAAATCTAGTGTGTCACTAAAAATCTGGACACTCCCAAAATTAGGTTTTCCTGTCCACAGGGACCTGAAAATTTCTTACAGCTATCTTTGGACTGAAACTGAGGTGTTCAGAGTAATTTTACATGTTTTCGGGACTAAGATCAATTTCAGTGAAAATGCCAACCCCAATCAATTATGGTATAAACGAGTCCTGTACCATCATTGGAGGTGGCATTTTTCCTGAAAATTTGATAAAAAAAAAAGAAAGATGTAAAACTACTCTAAGAATCTAAATTTGGACCAAATAAAGCTCTAACAAGTTCTCAGGTCCCTCTGTTCCTGTCTATAGGAGTTAATTACCCTCTTCCTTATCACTTTATCAGTTGTGGTAATGACCAATTAAGGCGACTGACATATTGAAATTTCAAAGGGAGGTAATTCATAACCAAAACACATAAAATGGTACACTAGGCAGCTGTACCTCTGAATTGATATGTATACACATACTTTGGTCATACAAATATATTTCAAATACATGAACGAATAATGGAATGACTGAGAAAAAAATATCAATCATTTACACATGGAGGGAGAAGTTTCTAGATTAAAATGTATGTAACATTGGGAACCTACATATATTATAGGTATTTATCTAATTATAGTTAACAATAATTTTGAAAAATAATTGTCATGATTAAAAAAAGTCTTGCTATGAATACAATGCATGATTATCCTTTTCTGAAAAACCCATTTTTTATATTATGATTAATATATCTTTATAATTATATCATACATACTTTTACTGTTCACCTTGATAACCATAAACTTAGTAAATACTTATCATTAGTAAAGGTTACTCTAAGAAAATTGTATAACTGATCAACAATTCATAACGTAAGTAACAAATGTCAAATGTAAGGATTGTTTGATGTCATTTGACACCTCCAGTATGTTAATGTGCCAGTGTTACATAATTAAGGTGATCGAGGATTCCTGAGTGTCTTAATTCGGTCTATATAAGACATTCCCGTCTCTAGACCACCTAATGATTATGAAATCAGCTATCCATGTATTGTGACCATACACTGTTTGATACATATGTCTAACTCATTCACCCCTGAAGACACCACATTTTAACTCTTCCAATTCAAAGGTTGGAATAGTTCATTATGAAATTTCAGGGGTGAATGAGTTAAGATTGTTTTTACATATATAATCTGACTTACATGTATATAGAAATGGGATATTCAGTCCAAATTCTTACCTCATGCATGTGTATGCATACACCGATAGCTTAGGTCTTTTCATTAAGCTGTTTTCCAGGTGGTAAGTCTAAGTCTAGTTCTGGTATTTCTATCTTGATTGTAAAGTTCATAGCTATGCCTACACATATTATCATAAGCTGGTTACCTGGCATACATTTAAAACAAAACATTACAACATTGCACATCCCTCAATTGATTTGGTAAACGTCTGTTGTAGAATTTTGACATGGTTCTACACATAGACTACTACGTGAAGCGGGACTTTAATTGTAGATAAATGGTACAAATTGATTAAGACTGACCAATGGGTTTTGGTCAGCCTACCTATAGCTTGCTCATTTGAAAAGTTCAGAAAGGCCATGAAAATCTTGACAAGCTTTGTAGCATGACCTGGTTATGTCCAAATATTACAATTTGATTACATCAGAATTTGAAAGAATGCATGTGAAACATATAATTTGACTTTGGTAAGTGTTTCAAAATATTTGAAGTAGGATCGAACATCTTGATAACAAACTATTAAAGAAATCAGAACCAGCAATGGTCATTGATTAATGTATGTTTAAGAACCTTCCTTAATATTTTGATGATAAAGGACTAGAAATCACATAAGAAGACTTTGAAACATAACTATACATTGCAAAGTATGATCAGTATGCTGGTAAATTATCTGCCCTTTATTCTCCGATTCACGAACATCCAAGGAAAAGAGTGTGACCTTTCCTCCACAGGACATTGACCTTGACCTTCATTAAATATATTAATTATATGTTGGTACACAACAAAATTATATAGTCTTTATGTAGATGGAAACAAAATATTTAAAAAAAAAATATATATATATATACTTCTACATACATTGTATAAAATATTCGCAAATTAATTACCGATCATGCATTTAACTTGATTACCAGAATTTGTGAGTAAATTAAATATGATTAAATTTGTACATTAATCCATTTCTATACAACCTCAATTTAAGTTGAATTATTAATCCTATAATAATGATTATAAAGCTATATAACCTTACAGAAAAGCTATATTTTATGCATATTCATTCATGTATTACTGTTGGTTGACCTTGAATACTAGTATGAAATTTGTTTGAGCATCAATAATGAGTTTTATTTAATTAGAAACTATTTAATACTAACATCTTTTTTTAAATAAATTTAAGTAAAGCTACTTATTTTTATATTTTTTTGCAGAAAATAATAAAAGCATTCTGAATTATCAGAAGACACCATCCTGACCTTCCATTCAAACTGTCCTTCAAGAACTGTTTATTTTTCAGCGTTTTGTCCTGAAAAATGTACACACAATTTTTGTGCAGCACTTTTAATGATCACGAAGAATGTTACAAAAATGATATGTCCAAAAATAGAAGTGAGTCAATCACTCATTCTACATGGTCATCTTCACAAACAGTTTGTCATGTAATAACTATACAAACATATCTCCCTAACATTGTCTTACAGGGTGACATAGTACATTTTACTGGTGTCTTACAAAAGAGTTCCTTGTAAATTACTATACCTCCTCCATACATCTTGGAATGTGTTCTGCATATATATAACTGAGCTGACAGCAGAGGAAAGTGTACAATTTCCTACAGTCAGAATAAATCTGTGTATCTGTGTGTATATAAAGCAATTTTTGTAAAGTGTTGGTTACCCTTGGGAATAAAATTTTACATTTTCATAAAATATATCAACAATGTAAAAACAACAATATCTCTAATTACAACACCTTCTTAACTTAACATAGATGTTGTCATGGAGATGATTCATTTGCCGTCTATTTCATAATTATGTTGCAAATAAGATTTTTGGAGAATCAGTTTTAACCAATTTTCACAGATTTGAAAGCAGATGTTATCACAGATTAAGAAGGTTTCTTGTGGTGAACTTTAACCTTTAACCTCACCTTCATGACTTGAACCCATGACAATATGACACTCTTTTCCCAGTCCCCAAATTTGTTGCTAAAAATATTCTACTTCAGTCAATTAAATTAAAACGTTTTTGAGAAGATAAAAACCCAAAGTTGTCCAGCTTACTATTCAACACAGTTAATTAACCCCTTCAACACTGTAGACCATAATGGACTCGTCCAGATCAATGCATGGTAGAGTCTACTAAAGTTGCATAGGGGTGAAAGGGTTAAAGGTGTGTATGAACATGAACACAGTCTTGAATTTTGAGAAAAGGCTGGTATATTCAAAAAGTCCCCCCCCCCTCCCGTTCATTTTATTTCAAATTTTGCAGAATGATATCATAACTAAAAAGGTGTTCATAGGCTAAGGTTTCATTTGCAAACAGACATTTTATCTATTAAAACAATAATCAAACATCACCTCCATAACAGAAATGGGACAGACAGCAATGAAGTGATACATGTATTTCACCAGGACAGATTCAGCACCAAACAGTCCACATAGCTCCAGACAGGCATTGCCAATTTTACACACATACTTCCTGAATATTTCCAGTCCAGGCATTTGATGCCACAAAACAATCTATGACACAATGAAGACATACATATTAAATTCTATCTAAATGGTAAGAACATTTTTAATGGTATGATCATGTAGCTACCTAGGTAGTATGGTTATTGAGCGTTGGGACTATGCTATGGTAGTGTTTGGTTCTGATGGCTCGGTAGTGTTCGGTTCTGTTGGTTCAATGTCATGCTCCGTGGCATCAGGTGTCATGATGGCCGACTGGCTGGCGTCGCCATAGTGATAGTCAGTGGCAGTTTCTACGTTAACGTAAGTACTTTGTATGTTACTCCGCTTCTGTCCCTGTCTCATCTGATGTTGTAAAATAGTGACCATCTCACGTACCTCATGAGCCAGTTCTGAGAAGGTGGGACGCTCACTGGGGTTAAACATCCAGCACTTTTTCATGATTTTGTATCTGAAATAAATTAAATTTTTCATGAGACAGAAGGTGAACGATATATATATCTGGGTGTTCTGTGAAAAGGACCCTAAAATGCATTTGTATGCACAGATCTGTTATGTGTAAATCTGGTTCAACCGATTCATCCAGCTATATCTGAAAAGAAAACAACATGCTCAGATCTGAACCAAGGCTGAGTGTATATCCAGGGGTCCAGGCCTGCCTCACTGAAACTAAAATGCTGACTATAGGTTAATTTAATATGAAAATTTTAGGATATGTTATACAATTTATTGGAAGCGTGAAAGAAGGAAACATTATTCTTGAATATAGTGATTTATTTTACTTAACTTCCAAACTGTGCATTTTTTAGATCTGCCTACATTTCGGTCAAGTGTGTTCGTTATTGAGGAATATTTCTGTGCCACCTGAACCATTTCAACCAGGATATGCAAATGCGACCCAGGTAAAACACATTTTTAAATGATTAAATAGAGCTTCTTTTATTGAATTGCTATAATGCAGTTAACAGGTAGGCCTTTAGCTTACTTACAGACTATCGGGACAGAATGGAGGCTGTGGCATCCTTCTACCCGCCTTGATGTATCTCAACACGTCCCAGTTATCGACCTCTGGGTAAGGGTTAACTCCCCTTGTCATTAGCTCCCACAGGCAGATACCAAAGGACCACTGGGAAAATAAAGGCACAATTGAACATAAGAAACTTAAATCAAACATTTATAGAGGATTATAATTTATCATCATTGCTTATTAAAAGTTCAAACAAGAATGTCTCAACAAATGCTGCTTGAAATATTTTTTTATACTGATTGTCTTTCCATGAGTGAGAAGGTCAAAAGAAAGCTCTTTCAGTATTTTTTGTGCTCTCCAGAAATATTGATCTAATACTGAATATACATTATATTCTTTGTGATAGAGGGTACAGCAACAAACACATGTTTTTGCACATAAACATCCCACTGACCACATCTGACTTTGAGTTATAGTTGCCCTTCTCGAGACATTCTGGGGCCATCCACTTGACCGGTAGTTTACTCTTTTTGTTGTCACTGCTGTAGTAGTCCCGCTCATAGATATCCCTGGACAGACCAAAGTCAGCTACTAGGGCCTTAAAGTTCTCATCCAACCTACAAACCTAGATATGGTTATCAGTATCATAAGCCTGGACAGACCAAAGTCAGCTGCTAGGGCCTACAAATTCTCATCCAACCTACAAACACAGATATGGTTATCAGTATCATAAGCCTGGACGGACCAAAGTCAGCTACTAGGGCCTTAAAGTTCTCATCCAACCTACAAACCTAGATATGGTTATCAGTATCATAAGCCTGGACAGACCAAAGTCAGCTACTAGTGTCTTAAAGTTCTCATCCAACCTACAAACCTAGATATGGTTATCAGTATCATAAGCCTGGACGGACCAAAGTCAGCTACTAGGGCCTTAAAGTTCTCATACAACCTAAAAACATAGATATGGTTATCAGAATCATAAGCCTGGACAGACCAAAGTCAGCTCCTAGGGCCTTAAAGTTCTCATCCAACCTACAAACATAGATATGGTTATCAGTATCATAAGCCTAGCAGTCAGTGCCTCAAAGATAAGCTACTACTATAGTAGTACAGTTTACAGAAAATGATTTAACTCATTCACCCCTGAAGACTCATTCGAGCTCTTCCAGTTCAAAGGTTGCAATAGTGCATTATGAAATTTCAGGGGTAAATGAGTTAAATAAAGATGATGTAAAAACATGATATTTCAACCCAAAGTATGATGTTTTTTACAAGTGACTTTGTTAAACAGCGGGGATAGAATTATGTGAGGAAGATCACTTTAATGAAGGTTCCAAAAGAACACAGCTCAGCAATGTTTAATGAATGGCATTAATACGACGATATGACCAATGATTACGTTTTCTCCAACTTTTGATTGAATGTATGGTTTCCCGTTTTACCTGTTCAAGATATCTCTGTCACCCCTAGGCCAGGGTATGACAGCTTAAACAAGGGACTGAACTTGATTATCTTACACATTTTTGTAAAAAGGCACACTATCTGCTCACCAATTGATATCACCGAGAGGCAGAGAGGAATGCCAGGAATGTGATGGTCATAGTAGTAGGAAGCCACAGCTTCCATCAAATACTATAATGGTATTCATAAACTAGGTGGCAAGACATTTTTTTTGTGGAAAAACCTTTGAAACACATGTGAACACAACATAGATTTTGGTTTTGGTTTTGGTTTCAAAATATGGGTGTTCTGGTGGCACAGTGGTCTAACACTCTGTACTAGATGTTCATTGATGCGTAGCCACTAGTGGACCGAAGACCAATGTCAGTGTTTTGATGTTTAAATTTTAAGAAATTTATGTAAATTTAAACGTCAAATTTTATTTTAAAAAATATCATAATTTGTCACCCATATTAATTACGTTTGATATTGTATACTGTTGTAAATATGCTTTCTCTGTATATTTTATAATTTTGTCAAGAGAAATAAAGTTGAATGATTGATAGATTGGTCATAGAGCCCAGCCTTATCTCTCATGCGACACCATGAGGTTCTCTCCATGCACTATGGCTAACTCCATCAATGAAAAGCAGTCCTACCATCAATCCCTACTAGCTGGTGTCGGAGTGTGGTTGTGTTTGTAAATAGTAATCCCTAAAATCACCACGGAGCGGTGACGGTGATTGGGGAGTGTCAGAGAGGGCCGTGTTATCACCTCAATATTAAGGGTTCTCCTACAAAGGAGGGACTTTTAGTACAAGCATACATATGGCATAAATCACTCTACTTTGGTTTTCAGGTGTTTGTGGGGCCGAACCGCTTCATACTTACATACAGTTTCTGGCGGCCAGATCTCTGTGAACAAACTTAAGTCCGGAGAGATAGTCCATTCCCTGTGCTATGTCTATTCCATACACAATCAAGTCTTTTATAGTTGGATTCTGAATTGAAAATAAAATTTTCAGTTCAGGGTTTTATGAGTAAAGAAAAATAAAATATTTTTCGTAATCAAGAACTCCTTTTACCTAACCAAAAATAAAACTACTGTAACATACATAATTGGTCCTGAAGAAATTGTACTGTCTAACCCTTTCACCACTGTAGACTTTAATGGATTGATCCAGATCAGTGCATGGTAGAGTCTACTAGTTATATAGGGGTGAAAAGGTTCATAATAAATATCATAACCTAAATGTAATATCAGGAAGGGATAACATATTATACTGACATTACCAAAAACTGTTTTGTTTATATATCTAGGGTTCCACTGTTCTGTATCTTTGTGTGATTAATTGTTTAGTGCTCATGACAAGGGGTTGGAATGTCTCAAAAATTTAACAAAAAAATAGTGTTTGCACTGTTGCAGTTACTTCTTTACTTATACATTAGGTACATGTAAAATGTACAGTGTAACTTCACACCTGACGACAACCTGACACCCATAACAACCCACACAGACATATACTGTATACAATGTGGTCTTTGTGTAAATAGGCTAAGAGAAGGTGGAGACTTACAATGTGGTCTTTGTGTAAATAGGCTAAGAGAAGGTGGAGACTTACAATGTGGTCTTTGTGTAAATAGGCTAAGAGAAGGTGGAGACTTACAATGTGGTCTTTGTGTAAATAGGCTAAGAGAAGGTGGAGACTTACAATGTGGTCTTTGTGTAAATAGGCTAAGAGAAGGTGGAGACTTACAATGTGGTCTTTGTGTAAATAGGCTAAGAGAAGGTGGAGACTTACAATGTGGTCTTTGTGTAAATAGGCTAAGAGAAGGTGGAGACTTACAATGTGGTCTTTGTGTAAATAGGCTAAGAGAAGGTGGAGACTTACAATGTGGTCTTTGTGTAAATAGGCTAAGAGAAGGTGGAGACTTACAATGTGGTCTTTGTGTAAATAGGCTAAGAGAAGGTGGAGACTTACAATGTGGTCTTTGTGTAAATAGGCTAAGAGAAGGTGGAGACTTACAATGTGGTCTTTGTGTAAATAGGCTAAGAGAAGGTGGAGACTTACAATGTGGTCTTTGTGTAAATAGGCTAAGAGAAGGTGGAGACTTACAATGTGGTCTTTGTGTAAATAGGCTAAGAGAAGGTGGAGACTTACAATGTGGTCTTTGTGTAAATAGGCTAAGAGAAGGTGGAGACTTACAATGTGGTCTTTGTGTAAATAGGCTAAGAGAAGGTGGAGACTTACAATGTGGTCTTTGTGTAAATAGGCTAAGAGAAGGTGGAGACTTACAATGTGGTCTTTGTGTAAATAGGCTAAGAGAAGGTGGAGACTTACAATGTGGTCTTTGTGTAAATAGGCTAAGAGAAGGTGGAGACTTACAATGTGGTCTTTGTGTAAATAGGCTAAGAGAAGGTGGAGACTTACAATGTGGTCTTTGTGTAAATAGGCTAAGAGAAGGTGGAGACTTACAATGTGGTCTTTGTGTAAATAGGCTAAGAGAAGGTGGAGACTTACAATGTGGTCTTTGTGTAAATAGGCTAAGAGAAGGTGGAGACTTACAATGTGGTCTTTGTGTAAATAGGCTAAGAGAAGGTGGAGACTTACAATGTGGTCTTTGTGTAAATAGGCTAAGAGAAGGTGGAGACTTACAATGTGGTCTTTGTGTAAATAGGCTAAGAGAAGGTGGAGACTTACAATGTGGTCTTTGTGTAAATAGGCTAAGAGAAGGTGGAGACTTACAATGTGGTCTTTGTGTAAATAGGCTAAGAGAAGGTGGAGACTTACAATGTGGTCTTTGTGTAAATAGGCTAAGAGAAGGTGGAGACTTACAATGTGGTCTTTGTGTAAATAGGCTAAGAGAAGGTGGAGACTTACAATGTGGTCTTTGTGTAAATAGGCTAAGAGAAGGTGGAGACTTACAATGTGGTCTTTGTGTAAATAGGCTAAGAGAAGGTGGAGACTTACAATGTGGTCTTTGTGTAAATAGGCTAAGAGAAGGTGGAGACTTACAATGTGGTCTTTGTGTAAATAGGCTAAGAGAAGGTGGAGACTTACAATGTGGTCTTTGTGTAAATAGGCTAAGAGAAGGTGGAGACTTACAATGTGGTCTTTGTGTAAATAGGCTAAGAGAAGGTGGAGACTTACAATGTGGTCTTTGTGTAAATAGGCTAAGAGAAGGTGGAGACTTACAATGTGGTCTTTGTGTAAATAGGCTAAGAGAAGGTGGAGACTTACAATGTGGTCTTTGTGTAAATAGGCTAAGAGAAGGTGGAGACTTACAATGTGGTCTTTGTGTAAATAGGCTAAGAGAAGGTGGAGACTTACAATGTGGTCTTTGTGTAAATAGGCTAAGAGAAGGTGGAGACTTACAATGTGGTCTTTGTGTAAATAGGCTAAGAGAAGGTGGAGACTTACAATGTGGTCTTTGTGTAAATAGGCTAAGAGAAGGTGGAGACTTACAATGTGGTCTTTGTGTAAATAGGCTAAGAGAAGGTGGAGACTTACAATGTGGTCTTTGTGTAAATAGGCTAAGAGAAGGTGGAGACTTACAATGTGGTCTTTGTGTAAATAGGCTAAGAGAAGGTGGAGACTTACAATGTGGTCTTTGTGTAAATAGGCTAAGAGAAGGTGGAGACTTACAATGTGGTCTTTGTGTAAATAGGCTAAGAGAAGGTGGAGACTTACAATGTGGTCTTTGTGTAAATAGGCTAAGAGAAGGTGGAGACTTACAATGTGGTCTTTGTGTAAATAGGCTAAGAGAAGGTGGAGACTTACAATGTGGTCTTTGTGTAAATAGGCTAAGAGAAGGTGGAGACTTACAATGTGGTCTTTGTGTAAATAGGCTAAGAGAAGGTGGAGACTTACAATGTGGTCTTTGTGTAAATAGGCTAAGAGAAGGTGGAGACTTACAATGTGGTCTTTGTGTAAATAGGCTAAGAGAAGGTGGAGACTTACAATGTGGTCTTTGTGTAAATAGGCTAAGAGAAGGTGGAGACTTACAATGTGGTCTTTGTGTAAATAGGCTAAGAGAAGGTGGAGACTTACAATGTGGTCTTTGTGTAAATAGGCTAAGAGAAGGTGGAGACTTACAATGTGGTCTTTGTGTAAATAGGCTAAGAGAAGGTGGAGACTTACAATGTGGTCTTTGTGTAAATAGGCTAAGAGAAGGTGGAGACTTACAATGTGGTCTTTGTGTAAATAGGCTAAGAGAAGGTGGAGACTTACAATGTGGTCTTTGTGTAAATAGGCTAAGAGAAGGTGGAGACTTACAATGTGGTCTTTGTGTAAATAGGCTAAGAGAAGGTGGAGACTTACAATGTGGTCTTTGTGTAAATAGGCTAAGAGAAGGTGGAGACTTACAATGTGGTCTTTGTGTAAATAGGCTAAGAGAAGGTGGAGACTTACAATGTGGTCTTTGTGTAAATAGGCTAAGAGAAGGTGGAGACTTACAATGTGGTCTTTGTGTAAATAGGCTAAGAGAAGGTGGAGACTTACAATGTGGTCTTTGTGTAAATAGGCTAAGAGAAGGTGGAGACTTACAATGTGGTCTTTGTGTAAATAGGCTAAGAGAAGGTGGAGACTTACAATGTGGTCTTTGTGTAAATAGGCTAAGAGAAGGTGGAGACTTACAATGTGGTCTTTGTGTAAATAGGCTAAGAGAAGGTGGAGACTTACAATGTGGTCTTTGTGTAAATAGGCTAAGAGAAGGTGGAGACTTACAATGTGGTCTTTGTGTAAATAGGCTAAGAGAAGGTGGAGACTTACAATGTGGTCTTTGTGTAAATAGGCTAAGAGAAGGTGGAGACTTACAATGTGGTCTTTGTGTAAATAGGCTAAGAGAAGGTGGAGACTTACAATGTGGTCTTTGTGTAAATAGGCTAAGAGAAGGTGGAGACTTACAATGTGGTCTTTGTGTAAATAGGCTAAGAGAAGGTGGAGACTTACAATGTGGTCTTTGTGTAAATAGGCTAAGAGAAGGTGGAGACTTACAATGTGGTCTTTGTGTAAATAGGCTAAGAGAAGGTGGAGACTTACAATGTGGTCTTTGTGTAAATAGGCTAAGAGAAGGTGGAGACTTACAATGTGGTCTTTGTGTAAATAGGCTAAGAGAAGGTGGAGACTTACAATGTGGTCTTTGTGTAAATAGGCTAAGAGAAGGTGGAGACTTACAATGTGGTCTTTGTGTAAATAGGCTAAGAGAAGGTGGAGACTTACAATGTGGTCTTTGTGTAAATAGGCTAAGAGAAGGTGGAGACTTACAATGTGGTCTTTGTGTAAATAGGCTAAGAGAAGGTGGAGACTTACAATGTGGTCTTTGTGTAAATAGGCTAAGAGAAGGTGGAGACTTACAATGTGGTCTTTGTGTAAATAGGCTAAGAGAAGGTGGAGACTTACAATGTGGTCTTTGTGTAAATAGGCTAAGAGAAGGTGGAGACTTACAATGTGGTCTTTGTGTAAATAGGCTAAGAGAAGGTGGAGACTTACAATGTGGTCTTTGTGTAAATAGGCTAAGAGAAGGTGGAGACTTACAATGTGGTCTTTGTGTAAATAGGCTAAGAGAAGGTGGAGACTTACAATGTGGTCTTTGTGTAAATAGGCTAAGAGAAGGTGGAGACTTACAATGTGGTCTTTGTGTAAATAGGCTAAGAGAAGGTGGAGACTTACAATGTGGTCTTTGTGTAAATAGGCTAAGAGAAGGTGGAGACTTACAATGTGGTCTTTGTGTAAATAGGCTAAGAGAAGGTGGAGACTTACAATGTGGTCTTTGTGTAAATAGGCTAAGAGAAGGTAGAGACTTACAATGTGGTCTTTGTGTAAATAGGCTAAGAGAAGGTAGAGACTTACAATGTGGTCTTTGTGTAAATAGGCTAAGAGAAGGTAGGGACTTACAATGTTGTCTCTGTGTAAATAGGCTAAGAGAAGATAGAGACTTACAATTTGGTCTTTGTGTAAATAGGCTAAGAGAAGGTGGAGACTTACAATTTGGTTTTGTGTAAATAGGCTAAGAGAAGGTAGAGACTAACAATTTGGTCTTTGTGTAAATAGGCTAAGAGAAGATAGAGACTTACAATGTGGTCTTTGTGTAAATAGGCTAAGAGAAGGTAGAGACTAACAATGTGGTCTTTGTGTAAATAGGCTAAGAGAAGGTATAGCGACTTTGATCTTTGTGTATGTATATTGCTAACATACATACATTAGTGGTAAACTTATTTCAGTGCTTTCATCCTTGAAATAATACACTAATTATGACTGCTCTATATTCTGCAACTATATAGATTTCTATTGCATATATTGTGGGTGTTTGATAATGTACTAAGTTTTGAGTGTGCTTAAATAAGTATACAGTATACGATAAGAGGACAAAGAGATTTATTTACATTTTAGTCAAAGTATAAGAGACCGAGACAGAGGTAGTAACATTTAATTAAGTTGTTGCAGTTATGTAAGGTCACTTAACCCTTTCACCCCTAGGTAACTTTAGTAGACTCTACCATACATTGATCTGGATGAGTCCATTATGGTCTACAGTGGTGAAAGGGTTAAAGAGAAGGCAGACAACTATACTTACATTTTCTTCGTTACGTATATAGGTTAAGAGATCACCATGGCTCATATATGGCAGCACAACCAAGGGCATGTCATCCATTCCGAAACAGATTCCAACCAGGGTCAGTACGTTGTCATTGTGGAAATCTTTCATACGCATGGCCTCCTCAAGGAAACTCTGAACATCAATTTCTCTTGGACTGTCATCTACAAACATATTGAGTGATATCAGTGTTTCATATGACTAAGAAATGTAGTGCTTAATGTTATCGAGTGATAAAGTAAATTAGGTGATTCGTAGGCTTAATCACGCACTTGTCTAACTTATCAACAACACAGCAGTCAAGTATGCTTGAACTGTAGTAAAACTAACAGCAGGTCTTAACAGATAATTGTCTAACTTATCAACAACACAGTAGACTAACAGCAGGTCTTAACAGATAATTGTCTTACTTATCAACAACACAGCAGTCAAGTATGCTTGAACTGTAGTAAAACTAACAGCAAGTCTTAACAGATAAATGTCTAACTTATCAACAACACAGTAGACTAACAGCAGGTCTTAACAGATAATCGTCTAACTTATTAGCACATCAGAGAAGGAAGGAGATGGAGGAAGATCTCAAGATTGAACATCAGAATGCTTTAGGAGTGCAAAACATACAATCGTTACAAAAAAAATTGTTTGTGATACTCATTACTCAGAAATTTTCACCAGTTTAACTTTTGTTTTTTATCTTGACAATGAATATTAGTACATATCATGCGATATATAGTAATTACATGTGGATGGTGAAATGAACACTATATATATAGATGAACATGGATTTTATTGGCACAGGGTGTATATTTGACTGGGCAAAACTTTCCAGCTTTAGAGTGGCTTATGTTAGCTAGATAGGGCGCTATATCAAATGCTGTATATTGTACAGTGATCAGTTCCTTACTGTGTAATGTTTTGACTGCGACCAGCGTGTCTCCTTTGGCCCCTGGGAGGGTCAGATAGCCCTGGTGTACACAGCCAAAGTTACCTGAAATAAGAACATTTGTCCACAGTAAATGTATGATGTCAACGAATGACTTTAAACTGTGAAGTTTAATTTCGCGTTTTCTCTACCTTAGCTGAATTCAATTAAATAAATCTTCATAAAAATAATTTAACATTTAACGTTTTAAATAAAACAGTCATTAATATTAAATTCCTATAACAATGATTCTACAACTCGGACATTAAGCACCTAACCAATTCACATACTGACCTTTTCCTGATATAAGAAACAAAACTGACCTTTTCCTAGAATAAATTACAATTACTGACCTCTTCCTAGGATATCTCCAAGGGTGAGCCACTCTCGCTCTATTAGAAGGTTTTTGTCTCGGAGAACCAACAGTGTGTCATCATCGATACCCGACAGAAGCGAGGCTGCTGCTCCGCTCTCTGACATCCGCTGTTCTGCATAGTCTGTCAAAATAAGCACTTTTCTGTAAATCATCAAGTACTTTTCAAAGTAAAACACTTTGCCAACAGAATAATTGTCTACCTTGTCTAGATTTTGACGACTGTAAAAGATAACACTTCGACTAGGATTTATGAGAACTTCTTTATTTTGACATATTTGATTTTCCAATTTTTAAAAGAAGAATTTGTTAAATACCGGTAACATGAAGAAGGTTTTTAGAGATGAAATGTCTGCTGCAAAACTTTTTGCTTACTTTGTGATTTTTGATTGATGAAAACATGTCAATTTGAAACAGATCAAACATGAAAAGAAAAGTAAGAGATTTTTAAGATTTTTTCAGATAAATTTTGTTAAACATTGGGATTTTTAATAATTTAATAATTTCATTATTATGTATATACAAACCATTGGCTTGATTCTGATTGTCAATAACCCTCTGGCCATTAGCCTCTGTGCGGACAGCCATGTAGTGAGCCATGTAAGGATCTGATGGCTTTTTGAATAGGAACATTTGCTTTTTCTTCAAAACGATACATAAGATGATGACAAGAATAATAACAACGATGGCGGTTACAACGAGAATGATGGTCATGATTGGAGTTGCGTCGTCTGTCATGGTGAAGACCAGAAATCCAATATCTGTCTTTATACCACCTGCTGTGACCTGAAAAAAAAAAAAAAGTTATAATCACTTCCTTTTATTCACAGGACAATTTCCAGAGATCAATTTAACACATGCATGTATATCTAGATATAATAAATATATAGGCTCAAAGTCTGATTCATAATCCCTGTGTACTATGGTTTGTTGATCTGATCTTAAATACACGTTGATTTCAGCTCAATGATTTTCCTAACCATCTAGTAACACTTTATGAATGTTTATAAATTTAAACTTTATTTATCTTACAACAATTACGAAACAAGTTATGTGAACTTATATCAATTACTCTTGTTGGCCCAGATGTTAACGTGTAGAGGGTCTTATTGTGGGAGAAAACCGGAGTGGTCGGGCAGGTGACCCCAAACCTTTTCAAGTCGTAAAGAGGAATCAAACCCCGGCCGTCTTGGTGAAAGGTAAGTGCACTATCCAATGCGCCACCAGACCACCCAGGAATGTTTTGACACTGACAAAAAATCTTAAGCAAATAGTAAAACCATGTATGCAGCAGAATTCAGCCCTTGAACTGCATTTATAAGAGTGAGTCAATAGTGCTAAATTCTGTTTAAACATGATCAAGTTCTGGAATTTCAAGGCAGCTGGTCATTCGAGCTCTTTTCCAAGGCCAGAGGCCTACAAAAAGTAAAATATAGAGAAACTCACTGTGACACGGTATTTCTGGGAGGAAGCCTCGGTAGGTCTGTTATGTACGGTACAGTGCAGGAAGGTGTCCTTTAGCTTGGTGATGTTACATGGAATATTCCCTACCCTGATGGCCATATCCCCAACAGATATTCCCAGGTTTAAGTGCTCTCCCTATAACATGTATCAATACCAGGTCCACTTTATAACATAAAAATGTATATATGTCGAAAATATTAAAATTACACATTTTTCAAAACTTATGAATTACGGGCTACTGAGATTGAACAAAAATCTTGTATGATTTATTGTTACTTTATCTGGAGAATTTTCTACAAAGCGATGCATTCCAGTGGCAAAGATAGTAATGAGCGGCACTGTAGCAAAATTAAAAGGTCATTAAAATCAGTTACCTTAATTTCCAAATTTGTCTCCGTGATATCCATGTAACGCAAATGCCCACTGTCACTGAACTTGTAGAAGTTGGGGTCGGGATAGTATCGAAATATTGCCCATCCCTGGTCGACAAAATTCTTCTGATCAAGTTCTTTGATGCCATCCATTTTGAACCAAATGTGATATTCCTCTGACCGGATAGGGAATTGTTCATCAACATAGCCGGTGATGTTGACCGATGGGCAGTACATTGTGCGGCCATTAGCAGCAGCTTTACATTTCTGTAATAATAGACGTATACGGCAAGGTCTATTTGTGTAATAAAGAAATAAACTGTGTATAGGGTTGTCTATTTTGCAATACAGATGTAGATTGTTTATGCATGACCACCAAAAGCGTTAGTGTAAATGGCAGTATATCGTACAAGGACTTAAAAAAGGTTAATAGGATTAATGTCTGACCTTGGTGGGAGGTGTCTTCTGGGTCTTGACAATCGTGACTCCTATCTGAGGATCAGCCACGATGTGTAAATTTGTCCCCTTCACAGTTAGGTTGATACCGCCACTGTAAACACCAATAGAGTAAAAAGCTACACTGTACTTAAGTAAGAATTATACAGGTAAAAGTTACACAGCTAAGGAACTATAGAACTACAGGCATACTAATATTCCCTGCTTGACACTTGAAGTATTAAATAACTCAGTCAATCAGAGGCCATAGCAGCCATTTTGAATTTCAAAATTTAAAAGTCTGTCGTTTACATAGAGTATATTCCCTATATATCACTTTCACAAAGTAACAACAAAATCAGAGCTGTGGAACTCTAGTTATATCTGCTATTATCTCAGCCAATCAGAGGCTATAGTGACCATCTTGAATCCCAAAAATGGAAAGGTTGCACAGGTGAAAATAAGACTTATGCAGGTCAGAATTACAATGATGTGTCAATCACAAACAAGACTGACACAAGCAAGAAATATTTGATGTAATATTCAGTTATGTGGATATAAAACTGATAAACAATATATCTATACAAATATATTTTGACCTTGTTCAGAGGTTTGAAGGAAGTCCCTGACACAGGTATTGGAACCAGGGATTCTAAGACTGCAAAGGGTCTGGACCTCAGTGCCAAACATGCAGGGCCAGTTCAGAAATGATTTTGGTTATACATACTGGGTCTGGACCTCAGTACCAAACATGCAGGGCCAGTTCAGAAATGATTTTGGTTATACATACTGTATGATAATTTATTTTATAAAAGAATACTTTGTCTACCATCTACAGATGTATGACATTGGGTAGCAACAGCATCTGAATCGATGTGAGGGCTGACCTGGCAATAGATCGTGGTGGGGACACATTAGAGATGGTAGAATCGGTCATATAGGTAAAATCTGCATAGATGGGGAATTTTGTCCCGTCTATAGTGACCTCCACCGGGCCGCTGACCACTCGGCCGGCCCCTCCTCCGGGTGTCCAGGCTGTCGTCTCACAGGTAATCATGGTCATGTTGTGACTGTATCATCAACAATGGAAAGTCATTTTTTATAACTGCTCTGGATTCATAAGATATTAGGCATTCATCAACATGGGTAGGATAATTAGGTAGACAAATAAATTTCATTATATATCATTTTTTTTGTGTGAATCGAAAATTGGAAATATTAGTATTACAATATTATTGGAATTATGACTGCAGCAAAATTGATTATTTTCACAATTTCTGTAGTTAAGGAAATCTTGAATTGAACATGAGATTGAAATCTAATCAATAATGCATTTTTCTTAATTATATGTAAATCTTAGTAACAAAAAGTGAACGTTACACAGTATGTAAGCTGTAAAGTAAAGATATACATGTATTTTTAATCTTGAGACAGTGTTGAAAAAATGCAAAGTATAGCTATTCATAAAATCGAACATAAAACCAAAATAATTTTTATTTTGGAACATAAGTAAGTTATACAGAAGCAAATCTGATCACTGGTCCATTTTGATAAAGACACTTACCTCTTCAAAATACAAGGAACGTTGGCTACCCTCACAGAACGGTCCTTCCCAATATCTAGGTTATCTCCCTTGATAACCACGATTGTTCCACCAGACATTGGTCCAAAACTGGGCGTAAAGTTGGCCATCTTTGGCGACTAGAGACAAGGAGTAATACTTGCTTAAAATATATTAACAATGATTTAATATTCACTACAGCTAGTATATTGGAAATATATTTTATCTATGGTAGTCTCAATCGGAAAAATACTCAGTCTTAATTTATAATATTTGTCTCATCATTGTAGAATTAACTGTGGCATTCTGGTTTGTACTGTGAGTGTATCAGGCTGTTAAGTAATTTTGAATACAACTAGGCAATCAGGGTATTACTTTCAAACTTTACTAGTAAATGTGCAAATTATTCAATATTAAGACAATCATACTAGCGGTTTTTAGAACTACCAGTCCAGCTGGAGATTTCACTGGTCTCAGTATGTCAGAAAAGCCTTATTGTCTAGCCCGGTGTATTAGTGTGATAACATGGTATTTTGTTTTATCTTGTGATACAGATACCCAGTTACTAGCTTGTTGTTGAAGAGAGCTGTCGACAGAGAATATGTCAATTTTGTACTTGATCGTTGCGATACGTATGAGTGTAGTATTATGATACGTATCGTATTGTGATACCATGATAATGTGATATATCGGGCGATACAGAAACTATATATTCCTACCTTGTTGTTGAAGAGAGCTGTCGACAGAGAATATGTCTATTTTGTACTTGATCGTTGCGATACGTATGCGTGTAGTATTGTGATACCACGATATTGTGATATATCGGGCGATACAGAAACTCTATATTCCTACCTTGTAGTGGAAGAGAGCTGTCGACAGAGAATAAGTCCCCTCGATTTTATACTTGATTCCTGTTTTTGTGTCGTCAGAAATTTTCACAGACACAGGTAGTGATTCAGCCATCGTCACTGGTGGAGCAATGCAGACTAGACTGAAATGATAAACTGACTGAGTCAACTGTTGTAAAACTAAAACTGGTTATCTTGATACCTGCTGATTTATATTGTATATACATTTAAGGAGTATATTTACATATCCATTTTATTGAGTCTGATATGACTCTTCCATGCCAAAGGCTGCAGAATAGTGAAATTCCATCCGAGGGGTTTTCATATTGGGCAAAAGCCGAGACTTGCCAAGGGTTTTGCAGCATTTTGAAAATCCTTAGGATCAAATTTCCCTATATCCTTTTGGGCATGGAGGAGTTTTTTCTTTTATTCATTTATCATCACCAGAATGAGCTCTGAAACAACTAAAAAGTGTTGAAATTTCCGAATTACGGCATCGGAATGTTCCTGATGACACATGAAAGTGAATTAAACCCTTTCACCACTGTAGACCATAATGGATTCATCCAGATCAATGTATGGTAGAGTTTATGAAAGTTACATAGGGGTGAAAGGGTTAAGCTAGAATTTCCTACACCCCTTTCTTACCCTGGACAATTCTGTCCTACACATACAGGAATGAGAGAAAAGTTTGCCCTCTATTTACATCACTTTGTGTATGTTTTTCAATCACTTCTTTTAATTTAGTATATCATTTAAACTTCAATTCAGTATCATTTGAAGCATGTTTAGCACTTAACCCATGCATAAGTATGTTCTAGTCTGATTTAGTATCATCAAATTAGTCTATGGTTAAGTTTTACATTAGGTGTGTGTTTATAAGCATTATTAATAAGTCCATGATTTATAGTATTTCATTGTTTTGGTATAATATAACTTAGCCTATGATATGTTAATATCCTCGGTCACTCTACGTCCAAACTTTCAGGCTTAGCCCGTCAACAGTGATTGAATGGTCCTCCCACTTATGTCACATCAAATATATAGCTACAGTCATTCTCCGTCCAAACTTTCAGGCTTAGCCCATCATCAGTGATTGAATGGTCCTCACACTTATGTCACATCAAATATATAGCAACAGTCATTCTACGTCCAAACTTTCAGGCTTAGCCCATCAAAAGTGATTGAATGGTCCTCACACTTATGTCACATCAAATATATAGCAACAGTCATTCTACGTCCAAACTTTCAGGCTTAGCCCGTCAACAGTGATTGAATGGTCCTCACACTTATGTCACATCAAATATATAGCTACAGTCATTCTACGTCCAAACTTTCAGGCTTAGCCCGTCAACAGTGATTGAATGGTCCTCACACTTATGTCACATCAAATATATAGCTACAGTCACTCTACGTCCAAACTTTCAGGCTTAGCCCGTCAACAGTGATTGAATGGTCCTCACACTTATGTCACATCAAATATATAGCTACAGTCACTCTACGTCCAAACTTTCAGGCTTAGCCCGTCAACAGTGATTGAATGGTCCTCACACTTATGTCACATCAAATATATAGCTACAGTCACTCTACGTCCAAACTTTCAGGCTTAGCCCGTCAACAGTGATTGAATGGTCCTCACACTTATGTCACATCAAATATATAGCTACAGTCACTCTACGTCCAAACTTTCAGGCTTAGCCCGTCAACAGTGATTGAATGGTCCTCACACTTATGTCACATCAAATATATAGCTACAGTCACTCTACGTCCAAACTTTCAGGCTTAGCCCGTCAACAGTGATTGAATGGTCCTCACACTTATGTCACATTCATATTCAAAAGCTTGTTTTGTTATGATCCCTGAGGAGCTTTGTGATAAACGTTTATTAGCCCATGATAATTGTCCTCAATCTACTGCATGACCACAGATGTAGTACGAAACTTTCAAATTCAAAGCGACTATCCATTGAATCTGAATAGTTATGAGAATTTTGATTTTAAAAGTTTAAAATCAGTGATTATTTTGGGGTGACTTTGGGACCTTATTAAGGCCCTTCCTCTAGACAATTTCTGCTGTATTTTCCCATAATCGACTCAAAAATCACTTATTTTCCCAAAGTTACAAGGCAAAAGCCCCTGTGGAAAGGAGATACAAATTTCTGTGTCAGTAAAACCTGTTCTAATGTATATAAACCTGTTCACCCCTGAAGTCACATTTAAACCTTAATTACCAAATCAAACACTGGGCAAGTTCAGTTTGAATATGCATGGGTGAATGTGAATGAGTTATTTAAGCGTGCAGTGACCATTATAGGTATGTCCTATAAAGATAAATAAATAAAAACCTTGTGAAGTTTCTGTAGCTGACTTTACATTCCAAGTTGCCTACACGAGCCTGCCATTCCTGAGCATGGATTGACCCGAAGTTGTGACCGTGGATGGTGATAGGTGTTTGTCCCTCTAAAGGAGCAGTTTCCGGGGTGATCTGTCATCAAGGTCAAAAGGTTTAAGTCTATTAACCAACAGCTACAGGAATCAAAATCTGCTTTTTAATCATGTAAATAAACAAGAGGCCCAGAGGGCCTGTATCGCTCACTTGGATATCTAAGCAATCATGGCAAAATATTCTCCAAATGAGATCCAAGGGAATATGCCAGACCCAAAGGCCAATCCTTGTAGCATATCTGTATTTGATTTTTTATGCCCAGCAATTTTATGTATGGTTTGGAATGGGGATCTCAACTGTTTCCAAGCTGTGACTCAGAAACTAGGTCCCTAGGGTTGTGGCCACACCCCAGGATCAATTCTAATAGCATGACTGCATTTGTCTCTTTTTGCCCAGCATTTGTATATATAGTTTTGGGGTGGGGATCTCAACCGTTTCAAAGTTATGACCCAGGGGTTAAGTCTCCAAGGGTGGGGCCAGACCCTAGGGCCATCCTGGAAGCAAATGTGCATTCCTCTCTTTATACTCAGCAATTGTATATATGGTTATATGGTGGGGATCTCAACCATTTCCAAGTAATAATTGTATTTGGCCCCACCCCTTAGCCCGAGGGGTTCAGCCCCACCATTTGTACAATTTTGAATCCCTGCCTCCCATGAATGCTTCCGAACAAATATGATCAATATCCATGGTATAGTTCTACGGAAGAAGTTTATAGCAATATAGCCAAATTGCCCCCTTTTGGCCCAACCCTCAGCCCCTGGGGGGTCAGCCCCACCATTTGTACAATTTTGAATCCCCACCACCTAGGGATCCAGTCAAATATGGTTGATATCTATCTCTTAGTTCCAGAGAAGAAGTCGCTTAAAGTAATATAGCTAGATAACCCTTTTTGGCCCGCCCCTCAGCCGCCACGGGGGTCAGTCACACCATTTGTACAATTTTGAATCCCTGCCTCCCATGAATGCTTCTGATTAAATATGATTGATATCCAGTGCATAGTTCTACAGAGGTTGTTTGTAGCAATATAGCCAAAATGCCCCCTTTTGGCCCCGCCCCTCAGCCCCCTGGAAGGTCAGCCCAACCTAGGGATGCTTCCAGTCAAATTTAGTTAAATTCCAATCAGTGGTTAAGAAGAAGAAGTCGTTGTTGACGGACGGACGTCGGACGGACGCCACTGTATGGCATAAGCTCACCTTGGTCCTTCGGACCCGGTGAGCTAATAAATCAATGGTTCACATACATGTACAAGATTTATGTTTGGGGTAGATGTATGTTCGGTGCATTGACATGACCTTACAAAAAACGAAACCCTGTTTTAATATTGACATTTTCGTACCATGACTAAGCAAGAAAACATTTAAATAACTCTTGTTCATCATCTGCAACAATGCAAGCATAAGTTTACATGCACAAACATATCATTTCATATCCATATGTGTTTCATAGCATATGAATATTTCAAGGTCATGGCCATTTTGAGAACCCTTACAATGTATATGACAGGAGAACAGGTGTCCAGGCTCCACGTTGTCAGTGTGCCCAGGGGCTGTGTCGGTTTGACACACTCTGTTTTCTTTGTACAGCGGTCCACACACCATCCACACACCAGAGGGTCGTCTGCTGTTACACACGCTTCACATGTGCTGTACATTTCACATGTACCAAGTGGGAACTTGACTACCTGTAACAATGCGAGAGTCATAAAACACAGGCCATTAATTATTGTCTACTTAGATAGGTCATACAGAGCACAGAGGTTATACAGATGCTGCTTTGGTCACCTCATCAGTCCATCGATAAGTTTATTATACACCAGCTATATATCACCTGTTAATTACATAACAGATCTGTATTTAACCAGTCTATAATCTAAAAGATCTTCATATTATCTGCCTGTTATCTAACAGATCTTTATATTATCTTTCTATTACCTATATATATAATGTATCTGTAGATTACCTGTCTATTGCCTAACATATCTGTAGATTACCTGTCTATTACATAACAGATCTGTATTTACCTATATTTTACCAAATAGATCTGTATATCAACTATCTATTACCTAACAAATTTTGTATATTACCTGTCTATCACCTAACATATCTGTAGATTACAAGTCTATTTCCTGACAGATCTGTATATAACTTGTCTTGTATCTAACAGATCTGTATATTACCGTACCTAGCAGATCTGTTTATTACCTGTCTTATCACCAAACAGATCTATCTATAACCTGTCTAACACATCTCTATATTACCTGTCTACTGGCTAGGACATACACGTGGTCCTCACTAGAATCGATCTGCATGTCCTGTTGTACAGGAATGTTGGTGTTTCCTGTGAGGTCAAAGTCCATATAAGGCTCCATTTGTCTGTGATCTTCATCAACCTACAATGAATCATTACCATATAGTATTACATCAACCTACAATGTATCATTACCGTATAGTATTACATCAACCTACAATGTATCTAACATCAACCTACAATATATCACTACCATATAGTATTACATCAACCTATAATGTATCATTACCATATAGTATTACATCAACTTACAATGTATCATTACCATATAGTATTACAGCAACCTACAATGTATCACTACCATATAGTATTACATCAACCTACAATGCATCATTACCATATAGTATTACATCTATTTACAATGTATCATTACATCAACCTACAATGTATCATTACCATACAGTATTACATAAACCTACAATATATCATTACCATATAGTATGACATCAACCTACAATGTATCACTACCATACAGTATTACATCAACCTACAATATATCATTATCATATAGTGTTACATCAACATACAATGTATCTAACATCAACCTACAATATATCATTACCATATAGTATGACATCAACCTACAATGTATCACTAACATATAGTATTACATCAACCTACAATATATAATTACCATACAGTATTACATCAACCTACAATATATCATGATCGTATATTATTACAACAACCTACAATATATCATTACCATACAGTAATGATATATTGTAGGTTGATGTATTACTGTATGGTAATGATATATTGTAGGTTGATGTTAGATACGTTGTATGTTGATGTAATACTATATGGTAATGATTCATTATAGGTTGATGTAATACTATATGGTAGTGATATATTGTAGGTTGATGTTAGATACATTGTATGTTGAGGTAATACTATATGGTAATGATACATTGTAGGATGATGTAATACTATATAGTAATGATACATTGTAGGTTGCTGTAATACTATATGGAAATGATACATTGTAGGTTGATGTAATACTTTATAGTAATGATACATTGAAGGTTGATGTATTACTGAATGGCAATGATATATTGTAGGTTGATGTAATACTGTATGGTAATGATATATTGTAGGTTGTTGTAATAATATACGATCATGATATATTGTAGGTTGATGTAATACTGTATGGTAATGATACATTGTAGGGTGATGTAATACTATATGGTAATGACACGTTGGAGGGTGATGTAATACTATATAGTAACGATACATTGTAGGTTGATGTAATACTATATAGTAATGATACATTGTAGGTTGCTGTAATACTATATGGAAATGATACATTGTAGGTTGATGTAATACTGTATGGTAATGATATATTGTAGGTTGATGTATTACTGTATGGTAATGATAAATTGTAGGTTGATGTAATACTATATGATAATGATATATTGTAGGATGATGTAATACTGTATGGTAATGATATATTGTAGGTTGTTGTAATAATATACGATCATGATATATTGTAGGTTGATGTAATACTGTATGGTAATGATATATTGTAGGTTGTTGTAATAATATACGATCATGATATATTGTAGGTTGATGTAATACTGTATGGTAATGATATATTGTAGGTTGATGTTAGATACGTTGTATGTTGATGTAATACTATATGGTAATGATATATTGTAGGTTGATGTTAGATACATTGTAGGTTGATGTAATACTATATAGTATTACATCAACCTACAATGTAACATTACCATATAGTATTACATCAACCTACAATTGCATGTCCTGTTGTACAGGAATGTTGGTGTTTCCTGTGAGGTCACAGTCCATATAAGGCTCCATTTGTCTGTGATCTTCATCAACCTACAATGAATCATTACTATATAGTATTACATCAACCTACAATGTTTCATTACAATATAGAATTACATCAACCTACAATGTATCATTACTATATGGTAGTGATACATTGTAGGTTGATGTAATTCTATATTGTAATGAAACATTGTAGGTTGATGTAATACTATATAGTATTACATCAACCTACAATGTTTCATTACAATATAGAATTACATCAACCTACAATGTATCACTACCATATAGTATTACATCAACCTACAATTGCATGTCCTGTTGTACAGGAATGTTGGTGTTTCCTGTGAGGTCACAGTCCATATAAGGCTCCATTTGTCTGTGATCTTCATCAACCTACAATGAATCATTACCATATAGTATTACATAAACCTACAATGTATCATTACCATATAGGATTACATCAACCTACAATGTATCACTACCATACAGTATTACATCAACCTACAATATATCATGATCGTATATTATTACAACAACCTACAATATATCATTACCATACAGTATTACATCATCCTACAATATATCATTATCATATAGTATTACATCAACCTACAATATATCATTAACATATAGTATTACATCAACCTACAATATATCATTGCCATTCAGTAATACATCAACCTTCAATGTATCATTACTATAAAGTATTACATCAACCTACAATGTATCATTTCCATATAGTATTACAGCAACCTACAATGTATCACTACCATATAGTAGTACATCAACCTACAATGTATCTAACATCAACCTACAATATATCATTACCATACAGTATTACATCAACCTACAATATATCATGATCGTATATTATTACAACAACCTACAATATATCATTACCATACAGTATTACATCAACCTACAATATATCATTATCATATAGTATTACATCAACCTACAATATATCATTACCATACAGTAATACATCAACCTACAATGTATCATTACTATAAAGTATTACATCAACCTACAATGTATCATTACTATATAGTATTACATCAACCTACAATGTTTCATTACCATATAGTATTACATCAACCTACAATGTATCATTACTATATAGTATTACATCAACCTACAATGTATCATTACCATATAGTATTACATCAACCTACAATGTATCATTACCATATAGTATTACATCAACCTACAATGTAT